TACTTCATGCAACAGGAATCCAAAAAAAAAAAAAAAAAAAAGTGGTGGTAGCTACTCTGTTTGCAGACAATGTGAACTTTAAACCAAGAAGAGATAAAGAAGGTCACTACATACTGGTTAGGGAAAAACTTCAAGAGGAAGAGATAACTATATTAAAAATATATGCACCAAATTCCAGAGCACCCAGTTATATAAAACAAGTATTAACTGAAATGAAAAACCAAATTATCAGTAACACAATTATAACAGGAGACCTTAACACACCATTGACACCAAGGGACAGATCAACCAGACAGAAAATCAGCAAAGAAATAACAGAACTGAATCACACCTGTGAACAAATGGACTTGATAGACATATACAGAGTGTTCCATCCAACATCAGAATACACATTCTTCTCAGCAGTACATGGATCATTCTCAAAAACAGATCATATATTAGCTCACAGAACATATTTAAATAAATGCAAAAGAGTTAAAATTATCCCTTGCATGTTATCAGATCATAGTGCTATGAAATTAGAAATTAATGATAAAAGATACTGCAAAAATCCCACAAACACATGGAAACTGAAAACACACTCTTGAGTAATCAGTGGGTCACAGTGGAAATTAAAGAAGAAATTAAACATTACCTACAAGAAAATGAAAATACAAATACAACTTACCAGAATCTGTGGGATGCAATGAAAGCTGTCTTCAGAGGAAAATTTATTGCACTGAATTCCCACATCAGGAAAGCAGAACGAATACAAATAAATAACCTGATGTTACACCTCAAACATCTAGAAAAAGTTCAAGTCAAGCCCAAAGCCAAAAGAAGAGAGGAAATTATAAAAATCAGAGCAGAAATCAATGCAATAGAGACTAAGAAAACAATCCAAAGAAAGAATCAATGAACCAAAGAGTTGGTGCTTTGAAAGAATAGATAAAATTGCTAAGCCCCTAGTCAACCTTATTTTAAAAAGGGGGAAAAAAGCTCAAATTCATGCAATAAGGAATGAAAAAGGAGAAATCACTAGAGACTCTATAGAAATACAGATCATCAACACCTATTTCGAAAACCTCTACTCTCAAAGGTTTGATAACACAGAAGAAATAGACAGATTCCTAGAAACATATGAAGTACAAAAGCTAGGTCAAGAGGATGTAAAACTGCTAAATAACCCAATTTCTATTAAAGAAATTGAAAATATAATTAAGTCCTTACCTACAAAGAAGAGCCCAGGCCTAGACAGATTCACTGCAGAATTCTATAAGAAGTACAAAGAAGACTTAATGCCGACACTCCTCAAACTCTTCAATGAAATTGAAAGGGAAGCAATCTTTCCTAAGTCACTCCTGGAAGCAAATATTACTCTAGTACCAAAATCTGAGAAAGACCCAACTAAAAAAGAGAACTAAAGACCAATCTTCCTAATGAACACAGATGCAAAAATCCTCAATAAAATATTGGCAAATAGGATACAGCAAATCATCAAGAAGATTATACACCATGGCCAAGTGGGAATTCATCCCAGGCATGCAGGGATGTTTCAACATACGTAAATCAATAGATGTAATCCACCATATCAATAAAGCCAAAAGTAAGAATCACATGATCATTTCTATAGATGCAGAAAAAGCTTTTGATAAAGTCCAACATTCATTTATGATAAGAACCTAACAGAAAATTGGAATAGATGGTTTTTACCTCAATATAATAAAGGCCATCTATGACAAACTAACAGCCAGTGTCACACTAAATGGCCAAAAATTAAAGGCCTTTACTTTAAAATCAGGCACAAGACAAGTATGTCACTTATCACCACTCCTATTTAACATAGTCCTGGAAATACTAGCCAGAGCAATTAGACAATGGAGAGAGAAATAAAAGGGGTAAAGATAGGAAAATAAGAAGTTAAATTATTATTTGCAGATGACCTGATACTCTACACAGAAGACCCCCAAAACTCCATTGAACAACTCTTTGATATGGTAAATAAATTCAGCAATGTAGCTGGATACAAAATCAATGCTCAAAAATCAATAGCATTCCTATACACTAGCAACAAAATCACTGACAGAGATATAAGAGAAGCCACACTCTTCACACTAGCAACCAAAAAAATGAAATATTTAGGAATTACTTTCATGAAAGAAGTGAAAGACCTATACAGGGAAAAATATAATACACTGAAAAAAGAAATTGAAGAGGATCTCAAAAAATGGAAAGACATCCCTTGCACATAGATAGGAAAAATAAATATTATGAAAATGGCCATTCTCCCAAAACTATTATACAGATTCAATGCAATTTCGATAAAAATACCATCAACATACCTCATAGAACTCGAGAAATCACTCCTAAAATTCATCTGGAGCGAGAAGAGACCTAGAATAGCAAAGACAGTTCTAAGCAGCAAAGGCAAGGCAGGAGGCATCACAATCCCTGACTTGAAGTTATACTACAAAGCAACTGTAGTAAAATCAACATGGTACTGGAATCAAAACAGAGCTGAAGATCAACGGAATAGATTAGAAGATACAACCACAACTTACAAACACACTCAACCACCTATCTTTGATAAAGGGGCCAAACATGTTCACTGGAAGAATGACAGTCTCTTTAATAAATGGTGTTGTAAAAACTGGCTCTCCATATGCCGAAAACTAAAACTAGACCCATGCCTATCACCATGAACCAAATTAAAATCTAAATGGATCAAAGACCTGAATATTAAAACAGAAACACTAAATCTATTGGAGGAAAAAAATGGGTAAAAACCTTGAAGACATATGGGTAGGTAGAGAATTCATAAGCAGGAATCAAACTGTACAGGAAATACTTCCTGGAATCAATAACTGGGATCACATCTTATTAAAAAGTTTCTGCATGTCAAAAGAAATCTCCAGCATAGTGAAAAGAAAACCCACAAACTGGGAAAAAATCTTAGTGAACTGCCCCTCAGACAAAGTACTTCTGCCTAAAACATATAAAGAATTTTAAAAAATCAGACCCCTGACATTCAAAGATCCAACCCAAAAATGGGCATCTGAGATGAATACACAATTCTCAGATGAAGAAATATAAACAGCAAATAAATACATGAAAAAATGTTCATCATCAATAGTCATTAGAGAAATGCAAATTAAAACCACACTGAGATTCCATCTCACTCTTGAAAGAATGGCCAGGATCAAGAAAACCACGACCAACAAATGCTGGAGAGGCTGTGGGAAAAATGGAACTCTCCTGCACTGTTGGTGGGAGTGTAGACTGGTGCAGCGATTGTGGAGGTCAGTCTGGAGATTTCTCAAAAAGCTGGGATGGGAAGTCCCATTTGTTCCAGATATTCTACTTCTAGGCATATTCCCAGAAGAACTGAAAGCATCATCCTCAATGATATATGTGCACTCATGTTTATAGCAGCACAATTTGTAATATCCAGATTTGGAAACAACCTTGTGTCCATCAACTGAGGAATGGATAAAAAAGTTGTGTTTTTATATATTGGAGTACTATTCAGCTATAAAGGATCACATTGAGATATTTATAAATAAATGGACACAGCTTGAGACTATACTCATAAGTGAAATAAATTAAGCTCACATGTATGAATACCAAATGGTTTCCCTAGCATAAGAAATGATATGAATACATAAAAGTACGTGGTAATCATGATTCCCTATTATATTGCTTTGAAGCCTTATAATGTTTTCCCTCATTAATTGGAATGGTTTTATTCTGGGTTGTTTGAGTTTATTGTCTGTGATGGTATGAACAGTTATTTTGAAGAAAACAAGACATCATAATAGCTAGTCAGCACTAGCTATTTAATATCATCTTCAAGTCCCATCAAACTGTTGTTGTTCTCTCTCTGTTGGTTTTATCATGTTGCATCTTATTGGATTTTATTATATGTGATAGTATAAACAAAAATTTTTATAGGCAAAGAGATAATACAGAAACCATTGTTCATTTTCTGTTAGCTGGTTCTAAATACCCTGTAATACTTTCATCCTGTTGAATCATTTCACAGTTTCTTTATATGTTTGATGCTATAGTATGTGAAGTCATACTCAAATATTTCAAGGAAAGAGACACTATGGCAACTACTATTATGTTTGGTTATCTTGTGGTGAAACACTATGTTGCTTAAATTGTTCTGTTCTGCCCTGTGTTATGTTGTTATGTCCTCTTTTATCTCAATCTCCCCTTTTAAAAAATTTATTTATTTTTTTATGTAAAGGAAAAACAAATTAAAAAATTAGCAGGATATATTATAGCAACTTTTTTGATTTCCTATTAACTTTGAGGCCCTGTATTGCTCTCACCATCTTGTTTTGACTGATTTTATTCTATTCTGTTTTGTTTGATAGTATCAAGTTTGAGGGTATAGGCAAGTATTTTGAAGGCATAAGATTCACTTTGTTGCCCATTCTGGTTTGGCTGTTATCTTATTTTGAAGTCCTGTAATGTCTCCAATGTTTCAGTTTTATACTGGTGTTGTTCTGTACTGTTTTGTTTAATTTTATTATGCCTGATGGTATAGGCAATTCTTTTTAAGGTAGCAAGAGGCTTTATGGTAACCACTGTTATCACCTTGTATTCTGTTTTTACATCGTGTACTATGTCCATCCTTTATTTTTGACTGACTCTGCTTTGTTTTGTCACCTTTGGTTTTATTCTCTTCCAAACAAAATGTAGTAAGAACTGTGGGAGTAATAAAACCCAAAATGTGTAATTGTTGTTGTAAAAACAGAGGAAAAGTGCTCTAAAGGATACAACTGCATGTGTGTTTAGGTATGTAAGATAGATAACCATATTACTAAGTTTTTGTTGGACCATTGAACACAAATGTTTGCAGTCTCACTGTTTGAATGTCCACTTTGTATACTTTAATTTTGTAACGTGAGCAACTATTTCTAAGAGGACAATATGTAATCTAGTAACTAGTGATTTCTGTTTATTTTTTTGAAATTCTTTATTACTTGTACCATTTTACTGCTTTTTCTCTCTTTAAATAAAATAAAAAAAATTAAAAATATCCATAAAGATATTTTTATACTTCTTATACTTCTTATACTTCTGTCCCTTTCTGCTATGTCCACACAGTTCTCAAAATTCCCAGGGAGGCACCTGGTAGAGGATGAAGAAATGAAAGCAAGAGTTAGAATACAGACAGCTGAGATCAGGTGGAGCCTGCCTTCCCAATAATTGCAGTGCACTTTATACATGCAGCAGATTGATGTCACTTTGACAGCTCTCTGCCTATCAGCTTGCTCATGTGGCTCCCTCTGGCACCTTCTGCTCCCAGGCTGGTGTTGCTCCCAGCCTGCACCTGTAATCCATCTCCTATGTCAGCTGCTCCCCACACCTCTCCCTGCCACTCTTATCCTCTTCCTGTCACCCTCTCTTTATTCCCCCCCCCATCTACTGTCTGTTCTTCTCTTGTGTTCTTCAGGTGCCACAAACTCTGTGATGTTCTTGGCCATGCCCAAGCCATAGGCCAAGAAACCATGGACTGAGCCTTCTGAATTCATGAGCCAATAAATTTTTTCTTTTTAGAGGCTGATTTATCTCAGATATTTGTTACAATGGCAGAAACCTGACATAGTATTCATTTGATGATGGACATCTGCCATTATATCCAGTTTTCCCTTATTATAACAAACCTGCAAACTTACAAACTCGCTTCCTCATATACATAAAAGGGTTTCCAGGGGGTAAGAGATTCTTGTCTACCACACTCTCTCCATCTACTTTTCCACCCATTCATCTATCTGCCTCTCTGTTCCTCCCTCCCTTCTCTTTCTCTTTCACTTCCCCTTCCTTTTCTCCCTTCCTCACCGCTCCTTCCCACAAATCATCCATCTCCCTCCAGGCAGATAACCTGTTGGTCCAAGACAAGCTATCTTTTAATATCAAGCAACAACCAGGTGCAGTGGTGCATGCCTATAATCCCAACACGCAGGAGGCTGAAGCAGGAAGGTCATAGTGAGTCTCAGGACAGACCAGGCTATGTAGTTTCTTCTAGTTGTGGATGTCTGTGATGACATGAACCAACTTGGTCTTCATAAATATGTGCCGGGTTTCACTGGATCCCAAAGACTGTTGATCAGAACACTGCCTATCAAGCTGAAATTGTAATATTCTTTCAAAGGATAGCTTGAGAGTCACTTACAGAAAATCCAACAAATAGTGTTTGACTTTATTTAAAAAATTACATGTATTTATTTCCTATTAGATTACTAAACAATGGGTGATTTTTAAGATAAAAATATCTGCCCTCATTTATTCTATAAAGACTGAATTCTGCCACAAGAAGTTGGTTTTACCGGCCAGTGGGCTGCATTGTGCTGATCAGTCTGGTTAATGCTGTTTTTCAATTTCAAAAGGGGGTGCTTTCTGGCTTCAGCCCCAGGATCACGGCTGACTTGGATCCCCAGTGTTGGAACATTTGCTCTTTGACAGTGGTCGATCTTGAAGATCTCAAGACAAACAACAGTGAGTATGCTTTCTGGAATTTCATGTTGTTCTTGCAAAAATCCCAGTGGCCTGGCCATTATGAGGTCTTCTGAGACAGCTTAGGATTTCTGGGACATGTATATGTACTGCTTGCTTTCAGGGTCTCACAGAATGAGCAGAAGACAGGTGTTATCTTTCAAATATGGTTTTCCATAGAAAGTAACAGGAGATAGACTAAGTGTGTACTTAAAAGTGTAACAGTTTAATTTTATTAAAAGTTCAACATTTAATTCTTGTGATTTATGAAATTCATGAAACAAGCTAGTAAGTTTTCCATAGTTTTTTTTCCCTAATATGAGTCTTTAATTTTTAATGACTTTATATTACTTAGGAATCATGAAAGCATTGATGTATAAATACTTGGTATAAATACAGTGTGTGTGGTGGCTCATACCCAGTACTCCGGAGGCTGGAGGACTGCCAACCTGGATTACATAGTGAGTTCAAGGCCAGCCTGAACTACACAGTGAGACCCTATCTCAAAAAAAAGTATCTTTTTTTATTATTTTCTTATACATAGTTCATAATAAAGCCACTTAATCTGGTAACTATTAAGATTATATTTGAAGTTATTTTTAAACATCAGACTTGTTTTAGCCTTTGCAAATTAATTCAATAGGGTTGCACACAAAGTGGTTGCTTAAGAATCATATTAGAATGCATATTAATTTTGCCTCTTCAATCTTATAGGGTTGAATATTTTTAAATGTGCATTTTACATTTAAGAGAGAAAACACAGAAAATAATTCAGGCAAGATGCCACCAATTGAAATACTATTTTCTGTACCAGTTTCCAATACCTTAATATTGATGGCTATTTTTTTGTTTTTATAACTGCTTTATTGATAACTGAATTATTATCATATTTTCTTGTAATTTGTTAGTAATTTTGATTCAGAAGTATCTTCATAGTGTATTTGTTTTAAAGAAAATACTGCTGGGCATGGTGGCGCATGCCTGTAATCCAGCACTCAGGAACTGGTGTCCAGCCTGGACTATAAAGTGAGTTCGAGGCCAGCTGGAACTGCATAGTGAAACCTTGTCTTAGAAAGACCAAAGTAAATAAAATGAAATTAAAAAAGAGAAAATACTACTTACAATGCAAAAGTGATAAATTTTAAATAGTCAATGTAGTATAATTGTAACCAATTTTACAAGGTATTTTATACCTCAGTATTTAAAAGTGTGCCAAAAATGCCAGTATTGTCCTAAGATGTAATGTTTAATCTTGATATAATGTACTGAGAGGCTTCTGAGATGTGGATTTCATCACTAAGCCTGCTTATCTGTAAAATATTTTTCTATACATTAAGGACTGAAAACTGTGTGTCTTTCTGATTTTGAAAAAGGAACAAAAACAAAAGAAGCTTCGTTTTAGTAAAGCACAGTTCGATAGAATGTTTGTCTATGTGTTAGTGGAATCATTTTTTTTTTCTTGTTTTTTTGGTCTTTTTCCTTTTTATCGGTACCAGGGATCGAACTCATGACCGCCTGCTTGCAAGGCAGGCACTTTATGCCGCTGAGCTAAATCCCCAGCCCCAGTGGAATCATTTTTGTGTTACCCATTTACCTCTTACATCTTTTTTCAAAAAGGATATGGTGCTTGAATGAAATCCATCAGACAGGGAGGACCAGGAGGCAGATGAGGAAATTGGAAAGATGGGAAGTTATAATGCTAATGATGACAGAACTCATAACCTGCAGTATTTTTGATTGCATGCCATAAAAGCCTATAGCTTTAATATAGCTACATAAATTTGGTGTGAGATTCCCACTTTTCAAAGTGAAGAGAGATTCATGGGCCTTAAGATTCACATTGCTTACAGGCAAAACCAAACCCAGCCTTTGCGGGGCCTGGGAACCAATAAAAATCTGTCCCACTGGTTTTCCTGATGGTTGCCATTGTGTGGGGCATTGTTTTTTTTAGTGTCTTTACAACAATGGAATCTCTCCCATGCATGCTGATATCCAAACTCAACTAAACATGGACAACTTCTAAAACAGCACAAAGAAACTGGACAAGTACCTGTCTGATAGTTTTGACTTGAACCATGAATAAACTGAATTAAAGAAGAGGGCGTTCTTTCCTCAATTTGGACCACTTCATCATTCTGGTGAAGCTGTACTAAGAATTTATTAGGGATTTTGTACACACACAAGTTTGAGGAAGGTATGTGAACCCCCGGTTATGAATCTTCAATGAACTTCACACCTTTGAGATACTCTTTTACCAAAAAAATTATTTTTTGTAAAACCAAGTTTGCGTAATATTTGAGTAGCAAGTAACATGAAGTTTAGGTCTAATAAATTCCTAGACTGAAACTTCCATCCTGCTAATAGAAGATGGATCCCCAAGCTCAGGAATCCTGCTGGTTGAAGGGTAGGGATAATGGTCTCATAAAAACGACCAGATAGTTGTCACTGCAGTGGGATGAAGATGTAGGAGGTAGAGTGAAATAATTATTCAAAAGCAGTTTTATGGCATCAACATATATTAAACAGCATGAACCAGGCAGGATCTCAAGTTCAAGCCCATCCTGAGCATTTTAGTGACTTAGCACAACTCTGTCTCCAAATAAAAAGAAAAAAGGGCTGGGGGTATACCTTAGCGTGAAAGGCCTGGGTTTAATCTCCAGTACAACAACCACCACCATGATGACAACAAAACAGAAATGTCCCTTGCACAGGGCCATCAGTGTCATGTGGCCAAACTGGTGTTGAGTGGGGAAGCAATCTGTGCTTCTTTTGGCTTATTCAAAGTTGTCATTTGTTCAGTACAGAGATCTTTTAAAAGAATCTACCAATTCTTGTATTATGGTACATCATCAGATTCACAGCTTTGTGCACTTATGCTAAGTTTATTTAGTTGAACTCATGACTGGTTACTCTGCAGATAGTTTAGGAATAGATAGTAAAACATCTAATATTGCTCCTAAAATATTTTAAGTGGGTATGAAAGGCAGTAATTAAGTATCTATGACTAAAATTACTCTTCTTCCTACAGACTTTTTTTTTTTGCTTTTTTATTATTTTAGAATAGTTTTAGATTTGTAGAAAACTTGCAAGGATAGAGTGCCTGTGTATCTGTCACTCACTTTTTCTTATTTTAACATTGCCCATTAGTATGGTAATATTTGTTACAACTAATGAACTGATGCTGATACACTATTAAACTAAATTCAGTTTTTTATTCAGATCTCACTAGTTTTTCCCTAATGTCTTCCACTGGACACGAGCCCATCCAGGATGCCACACTAAATCAAGTTGTGAAGTCTTTCTAGGCTGCCCTGGGTTGTAACAGTTTCTTAAACTGTTTTTGATAACTGAGACATTCTCAAGTACTGATCATAGATAATGTAGCACCCTGCTCAATCTGGGTTTGCCTGATGTTTTTCTTATCACGACACTGGGGTTGTGTACTTCTGGAATGAAGACCATAGAGGCAAAGTACCACTTTTAGAACTCAAGGTCAAGAGTGCATGTTATCAACATGACTTATTATTGATACCATGTAATGTTGGCTAAGCTAGTATTTGCTGGGTTTTTCCATTTTTCCTTCTGTCTAAACTGTGCTGTTTGGAAGCAAGTTACTAACTATAATCCTTATGGAATAGAAGGTGGAGTTATAGTCCACCTCCCTAAAATCTACTTAAATTATCCAGGCTTTATGGAGATTCTTACCCCTAACTTCCTATCAGTATGGATTTAAGGACATTTATTTATACTTCGGGTTATAATATAACACACTACATTGTTTTGTTGCTTGAACTATTCCAGCTTTGGCCTTCAGACAGCTCCATAAGAAACTTTTAGGTTCATCTTTAGATTTCTGTCCCAGGCAGTTGTTTCTTCATGGAGCCCTCGTTCCTTTCACTGGAGAGTAATTAGGAGCAATCATCTGTGTGTTTGATCTGTCTACAGGATTATGACCTGGTAACAGGCCAGCTCCTGGTTTTCTTCCTCATGAAGCATCCTTGGTATTTCCCTTGACTGTCAAACGGAAACAAGCAGTAATGAAACATGGTTGTTGGTTGCTAAAATGAAACTATTCTTTACAAACTTGGCAGAAAGTATAGAAACACAAGAGGGACTCATCTTTTACTCATTAGTCCTGTTACACCTAGAAATCTTTATTTGGTTTGGCAGGCGACAGTTTAGGATGTCGATAAGCACTTCACAAGGGGCTGGTCACATTTACAAAGTTGGGAAACTATAATCAAAAAGACTCATGATCAGGACCATGATTAAAGAAACTGAATCTGAGACCTGAAAAGACTTGGGTGGGTATCATGGTTGCTTCTTGTGATACGAAATGCATTTTTGTTCTCCAGAAGACAGATAAAGGACCAAATGAATGAAGGCTACTCAGTTATTCTCTGGTTTTTGCCAACTATAAGGAAGCAATAATTATGGAGTTTAACCATGAATGAGCTCCCTCATGTGGCTCCCTCGTGTGGTAAAAACATCATCACTAAGTTTTTGATGGCACTTTTTATCTCTATTCACTGAACTCCATCACTTTTTTTCCTGACTTTCTTTTTGGTTGATTAGTCAAGGTTTCATTTGAAATTTTGTCTTAGTTGACAGACTCATGGAAGAAAATACACCTTCCACCTTTCAGGTACGCAGGCTAGGCTAGGCTACGGAGTATACCCCCAGGCTCAAGAGTAGGACGTGTAAGATGTGAGATGTCACATCCAGTGTAGCTCTTGAAATCCTCAGGGTGAGGATGGTGAAGGATGAAGAAACAAAGGTAAGAGTCAGGAAACAGAGCTGAGGTCAGGTGGAACCCTCTCACCAGATGGATTTGTATGCTCGGCAGGTTGATGTCATGTGACACCCCTCCGCCTGGCAACCGTTGTGTTCTCTGGGCTGGAGCAGCTTGTTCACATGGCCTTTCCCAAGCGCTCTTTGTGTTCCAGCCCCACACGTGTGATCCATCTCTAGCTTCAGCCACTCCTCACAGTGAGAGAGAAAGAAAAACAGCTTTGTGGCAGACAGATGAAGGCTTCACTTGCTCACTGTGTAGTGGCTGAGATTATAAATGTAAACCTGGGTGAAGTCTCTACCTAAATGCAAGCATCTGCATTTACTACCAAGTTACAGGAGATGATAACCTGCCCTGTTTTATCTTCTCTCTTCCTCATATCTCAGGCCACAGACATCACAGATTATCTTGATGTAGTCAGTCCTAAGCAGTCTGGGGATAGCAGGTTGTGTGATGCACAACCATGGAATATTACTTTCTACATATTAGTTATATTCATTTCATAGTACTTATGCCTCACTGCTTTGGAAGAAGTCTACCACTGTTATGAAGTGAACACATCTGACTCCTTCAACGTGTCTGTATTTAGCATGACTTTTATAGTAATCTGTGGGTGGATTCCTCCTTTTGAGGTAGTGCTGAGGTATTAGAATAATGGACACAAGCTGTCTTTGGGAAATTTAAGAGTCTACAAAATGGGGTAGTCTTTGTATGGATTCTAGGTGTTTCTGAGGTGAGCCAGATGTGTGCCTGGTGTGTTTAGGGTGGAGATCTCATCAGACATGCCCTATCCACTTCTATTCTTGTATCTCAGTTACTCTCCTTTGCATGACATCTTTACCTTTAGGGTTTTCTCTAAAGGATAGGAGATTGTGTGTTCTCACATCTTTTCAAGGGTGGTGGTAATAGAGAAAAGGATTCTGGAAAGAATAAGCCCCCGTGATAAGCTGATTTATAGCATTTACCCCTGGGGGGCTGCAGGGACTGGACGACTGGCCAAGGGTGAGGCACCACCAGCAAACTGGCAATGCATTCTTATGGGAATACCACAGGTCCAGCTTCTCCCTCCGCAGAAGATGTTACTGTCCTCACAGACAGGATAATGGAAAATTCTGAAAGGAACGCACAGTAGCAAAGGAGGAGAAGGAAAGAGCAGGAGAAAGTTGGTAGGAAAAGGAGGTTTGAAGGCAGATGGAGCCTGCGGTAATGAAAGTGGGATGCTTGCATCTCTTTCCCACTCTGCATTCGATGACATCATGCTGGTCACTTGGAACTGGTCATACAGCCCTGACACCGTTGATCTGACAGATGCTGTGGATGAGGGCTTTCCCCACCTGGAGAGCCAGTTGATATATATTTAAATAGGACCTCGCCTGGCTTCTAGACTCAAATTTCAATAAATTTGTCTTTCTAGGAAAACGGGTATTTCTTTCTCCCAGACCTGGACCTGAACCCAACTTTGTGGATTCCTGGTTGGAGGAACAGTGTCAGGGGCTAAGGATGGGATAGAAGCTGCACGGTGGCATCCAAGAACAGGAAGCTTGGCTCTAGGTCCAGCATTATTCCCTCCATCTCCTGCTCTCTCACAGGATACCTTCACTGCCAGCTGAAGAAATGCCACCTCCACAAGTCCTATCTTTCCTTCTCCTTTAAAGACAATCCCGCTCACCTAGCTTCGGTCCCTAGATCCTACCATGCTTGCAGTCTAAATTATTCCTACATCTGAGAGTTACAGAACTTACACTAATAGATCTAGAGCAGTTCCCATGCAAATGAAAGAGTCCTAATTAAGCCATTATATTAATCATTTCAGTTAAGAGAATTTGTAGTCTTTCCAAAGAAATTAATGACATCTTTTTTAATATTATGTTGATCTTTTCAAAAATAAGTTCTGTGTCCTTTTATTCTTTGTAGAACTTTACTAAAATATTTGCTTTACATTTCTCTATAAAGATATATTTACCTAAAAATTATAAGCAGGATTTATTTCAGAAAGCCTCTAATGTGTGTTAAGTAGGAATACTCTTTTTTGTCTCATCTCCAGCCTTAACGGCCTTCAGTCCTCCTCCTCGTATAGGCAGCCTCTTAAGTGCTAAATCTGTGTCAGCCAGAGGTCCTCCCAGCAGTCTCACAGGAGTGCTTTCCACCGCCACTACTCCTCCAGAGGGAATCTAAGAGAGCAAAAGGTAAATAAACGTCTAAGAAAGTCTATTTTGCCATAAAACAAAAACCCATTTATCCTTCACCTTACTTTGAAAAAGTTACAAAGTATACACAGAAGTAACTTTGCTCAAATGGCAACGGGACTAACAGATGGGAGGGAGAGGGATGGAAAAGAAATTAAGATGTGTTATGTACATGGACATAACACAAGGAATCTACACCTTATGTACTGCAAACGTGTACTAATTTTTAAAAAGTTGAAAAAGCAGCAACTAGAAGGGCGGCAGGGCATAATGAAAAGGTAAGAACTCCGGCGCTAGGAAAAGTAGATTTGAAATCTACTCCTAGTGCTTATCAGCTGTGTGACCAGCAGAGGGCGCGAGGAATGCCAGCTGTGTCTGCGGGCCTCTATGATTTCCGCAGGACCTGGAGGGCTGGGTTCCCTTTTGACCCAGCGCTGGGGAAGGTAGCGTCGGTCCCTGAAGATACATATACCTTTTTTAAAATAAATTTTGTCCTTCTTTGATTTCTTTAGTTTTTTTTTTTTTGTTTTTTTTTTTTTTTGGTGCCAGGGATCAAACTCACAAGCTCACACTTGCCAGGTAGGTGCTTATGCCACTGAGCTAAATCCCCAGCCCCAAGAGATATAGACACCTTAATGATGGGAAACCCGAATTGGAAGAAGAAAAGTACAGCACAAAATGCCCATAGAAATAACAGCTCAGGGACTTGCATGTATTTATCTATTAAAAAAGATACTCTGAAAATCTTACCGTTGTGTTAAGGCCTTTAAGAACCGTTGGGTGAAAAACTGCATTTTGTGGTCTCTTACTGTACTTAGAGGACTCTATAGCCTTTTCTTGTAGCCTTTTTGCTTTCTGAAAAAATTTTAAATTAGAAAAGAACACGGATTGCTATTAAATCATTAACTATGGTATATCTATAATGAAAATACAAAGTACATTTAATTGCTTGGCTTAATCTCTGGCTGCTTATTATACAATCCTACAGTCTGCTTTTACTCATTTAGATGCTTACTGATGAAGGTAAGCTGGATTCTTTGTTCATTAAAGAAAATACCTGAAAACATTCTGGTGATTTCCAAAAGTACTGGTCCTTTTTGACAAAGGAGTGAAGCAAGCACTGAGGAAATCAGATTTCATTTTTAGCACATAATTTAATAAGCCACAAAACTCATAGGCTATGCATGTTTCAGAATATGCTGCATGAATTAAATACTAATACACTTAACAGTGTCAAATATTTGGAATAATATAAGTTATATAATTCATTGTAGTTACAATCAAGCTCACTAATTGAGGCACTAAACAGGTAAAATGTGAGGTAACAAATGCCCTGCATGGAAGGGACTTCTTTTCACTAACCAATTCCTTAAAAATACAAGAACGTATGGGGGTGTTTTGTGAGTACAGTTAGAAGGAACATCTAGGGAAAAGGGGATACCTGATGCCCCAAGTGACATTGTTCTTAGGTTCTGCTATCTTAATATGGTTATTCCTGTGGACTAGCTAACATTTACCAATTTTATATCTAGAAGCAGGTTTGTAACATTAAGCAAACAACATTTAAAGCAAAATGGAAAAGGTGTGTAAAGGCAGTAAAGGAACTGTAATGAAGTCTTGGAAATCTACTATGCATCTCAGAATTCAAAGCGAATAATTAGCACTGTAAACTTTTAAACTGATTTCTAGATCCTAGCAGAAACAGTTTTCCCACAATTTTTCCAAAGAGACATTCATCTTAAATTCCCATTTAAACTTTGTTTCTTTTGGTAGTTAAAGAGGAAAAAGCCTTGGGGTTTCTTACAGTAAAGAAATAATTGAAGACGTATTCTATAGAAAGGTCTGAATATCTGAAAAAAAATCTCTCCTTAGGATATTGGTTGTTTGTTGTATATATTGTGATATCTCAAAAATCTTACCTTTAATGTTTTAATATTTGATGTTCTAGCCAAGAAATTTTCCCATGATTTATTAGCCATTTCTCTCTGCTTGTGTGCAGTTTGTATCTGAAAGGAGAAAGGTAAGTAAGAATTTCAGTTTCTTAAAAAGAGTAAGAAAGGGCTTGAGAGCCCCTATTTGAAGGCTGCACCTACTCTTTACTAAGGTAAAATTTATGGCTGAGTAGCAGAAGGTTTAGAGTATTCATAGAACTTAATTTAAAAATATAAAATCTTCAAATGAAAAATCTTTCACTCCCACAGCTCAGCTCTGAACCACTTTCCATGAGATGTGATGCAAAATTGCTATTTTAATAATGTTAAACGTTCTCAGCAAGACTGTTTGTTTTGCATGATTACCATCTGTGAAGACACTATAATCCAGAGGAAACTACATGACCTAAGAGAAAATTCACAGGAGAACATAAAGAGATTCCTGCTGGCCACTAATAATAAGTTTAAGTAAAATTATATGGGTGAAACTACTTCTAATTTATGACTGCAACAAGACGTTCTGTGAGAGTGCTGGGTTGGTTGTTGTATCGCAGTCTAGGAGAGCAACTGCGAGCAAGCTGTGGAGTGACTGGCTAACCGTGCACCCTGAGAACTTGGGCCTTGGTTAAGGCATGCCAGATGCAGAATCACTGCTGCTGGGTGAAGAATCTGTAGTGGAACATTAACTTTCGACCTTGCAAGCCATGTGCAAGAACTGCACATTCATCACTAGCTGGTGATGATCAGCTAACCACATGTCATGTCTTTAAGACACTATTTTCTCCCTTTTCCAGTGTGACACCAGAAGTCTCTTTTAAATATAAGCAAATACATTTTATGCTGATTCTCTTGATCATTAACCCCAGTTAGCCCATTCATATTTGTTAATTAGGTTTACTTAGGATGGCTGTTTTCAATAACTCCCAGAGCACTGAACCCTGTCAAACAGAAGATTACTCAGCCTTCACACAGGAGCTGGCTATCCTTGGGAGGGAGCTGGCTGGACAGTGGAGCCTCTGTGACCTGATGAATGCATTCCTGGGAAGGTGTTTCCAGACCCCCAGGCTCCTCCTCACATTAAAAAACAAAACAAAGACAGTTGTCTCCTGGACTTGTCTGCTGCTCTCTTACATTGTAGCAATAAACTCTTAACTCTCTTATGTTTCTTGACTGTTGGTAAATTCTTTTTACCACCTGTGGCACTGGTCTGTCACATGCAGTTTCCATTAAGCTTAAATTATGAACTAAGAATAGTTAAACAATTGCTAGACAATGAGATCAGAGCTATGCTAACAATAAATCAATAATCAATAAATCAACACTAGTTAGTACAGTAAACATTCTTCTATTCAGAAGACTTAATATGAGGCTGTATAAATTGCAATTCTATTGCCCCATTTAAGAGCAAACAAAGGGATTAAACGGAAGCATTCATTTCAACTCTCTGAAAACAACATGTTTAAAGCAACTGGTTCTATGCAGTGAAGTAGAAATCAGAGATGGACACAGTTGTAGATATAAATATTGCAGAGTCAATAGGCAATAGAAAACACTTGGAAGAGTTTAAACTATTTCACTGTAATCAATAAAGGATTACAAAGCAGAAGCTGGGAATCTACATCATTTCTGTATCTTAGATAAGTTAATTGAAATAGCCATTTAATTTAATTGCTCAGAAAACAAATGATGCATTCAATTCCTCATCTTTGTAAAGTTTTAGGAAACTGGTTGCTATTTTCCTGACAGAGTTTTCCGACTGGCTAACATCAGAGCTTAGTTTACCTCTGGAGTCACAGAATGGATGCTCATGGTACTGAGAGGAGGATGATCTGATTGATCAATAAGCCCACAGCTGGTGTGCCAGTAATGCAAGAAGTTATGTGTATTGTTACAGTAAACTGTTGGTCGGAATCCGGGAAATGAATGCATTTAAGTGGACCACAGTTTTGGAAGCCTGTTGGGCACTTCAAAAAAATGGAGGTGTCTTAGGTATCGTTTTACCTTTTAAAAATATGGCAGTGGAAATCAAATTACAATGTTACAGAACAGCTTTGAAATTAGTAATTCAATCTTAAACTTTTACTTGATTTCTTCTAAAACTGCACAGAAAATAACTATGAGAGAAAACCGAAAGAACTCACAAGACGAACGCGTCCCACGGATAACTTCATCTCATCTGTACATGGACATTAGTATTTTGTACCTTTGGGGCATCTATACTTACTTTCGTGTATACTTTTTGCTCATTTTGCACATCTTGGCGCGCTTGGCTTTCGATCATCTCACTTTGCAGAGAAGCAACCATCTTGCCAATATTTTCTGAGGCCATGGTAATAGTTTCCAAAATTCTTTTATCTGAAGAGACTGGCCTTAGGTTTTCCATTTTTATTTCTTCATATATTTCATTCCATATTTCACCAATCTATTATAATAGAATATAACAAAGTCAAAATAACCAACAATGATAAACTACACTCCTTTAAGCAGATAGGGGTCACTCTTGTTGACATGTAATGCCTTCCTTCTTGATCAGTTATCAGCAAGTGCACTGGGAAGGCTTTAGGCTGCCAGCTGCATTTGAGTATTTACAATTTACCAAGCATTTTTCAATGACTCTGCATGTTCGTGTTCATGTTCATGGCTAATGGACCTTACTCCACTGCCCTCCTCAATGCCCTTTAGTAGTTACATTGTTTTCACAGCTTTAGAAACTGCTGATTTAGTCTCATAGACTTCTGTTTCCTCCCTCAGGTCCTGTACTGAAGGCTAGGTCAAGGTGAGCGCGTAGGATGGTAAACAGGGGTTCCTGCAACCCTAGAACACAGTCACTCCTAGAATAGGGCCCTGCCACTTAAGTTGTTGCTAAGACAAATTGTACCTAAATCTCCATCTTTTAATGCAGTACAAATTCCACGCATCATGCCAAACACTGCCACTCATATTTGGGGTTATCTAGAAATTAACATGTTAGAGCATGTTTAAAGCTGGAGAAAAATTTATGTATCTAACATAGGGATTAAATTTGGTTTTGTTTTCATTTTAAAACAAAGGATTATGCATTTGTAGCATTCAAACACATATCGTATTTCCCCCAGAGTGAGACCTAACTGGAAAGAAAACCATCTTTGAAAGCTAGAGATCAAAATGCCAGTCCCAATCAGCCTGTTCCTGCCTCACCTGCTTTACAGAGAAGCCACTGAGCAAGAGAACGGTGATGGCAGGTGGCATTATTCACTGATGAAAACAGAACCAGTGAAGTACGCAACCTAATGGCGTAGTTTTAAAATTGATCATGATTTAAAGTAATAATAGAAATACTTGGATAAAAATGAATACTTCATTTTAGTACATAATAACATTTAATTCTAACGCTTAATGCTCTCCAAAGACAGGCAATTTTATTTTATTTAAAAGTTTGCTAGGCTTCCGAATCGCTTTGTCTATATTTATTTTATTTTACAAGCTAATGTTGGATGACATCCTACTTCACAAAAATACCCAATTAATGGCATGTTTACAAATGTAGGTAGAAAACGGAAAATAAAAACCACACAACATGCGGTCGATGCTCACAGCTATGAATAAATCTTTGTTTTTCAATTTTGTCATAACAGATTTTAATAACATTATTAAATAAAACTATTAATAAAATTATTAAAATGGTACTTACTTTAAAATCAAGATATCTGTGTATGATACATAGGGTGACAAAATCTTCAGCAGACAGGCCAGGTAAGTTTTCAAAATCTAAATAGGGTTTATAGAGAATTAAATAGAACAAGTGATCCAAGCATATCAGAAACACAAATGGAAATGGTTCCTTGGACTTTAATTTCGATTTATGAAAGGGCTGCTCTGGCGAGTGTCAGTGACTCCCATGGCAGGTCCCCTCCTGCGGTTGTACCTGGAGACACCACTCCTTCTGTGTCCTCATCCAGTCATCTTTAACTTTCGGAAGCTGGTGAATGAGGACACTGTCCTATGGAGCAAAGACTTTAAGCACGCTTAGGAGACTCAGAATGCTAAGTGCTTCAGGCTAATCATCTGAACTAACTGCCCTTACTCAGCGCTGGCAATTCTCTGGAATTGCCAGAGAAACTTGAAAATAGACTGATGCAGGGTGGGAGTGGGTGGGACATCCAGAGATTCAGATTTATTTGCTTAGCGGTGCACTCTAGGCACCGGGATAACAACGGATCACACATTTATCCATACAAAGGGGCTTTTATTCTTGCCTGAAAAATGGATTCCAAAACAAAATCACTGTCCAGTGGTGCTTATGAATTTGAGTAGTAGCTGCTTACCTAGTTTGTCCAACACAGCATAAATTTTTGCTCTGATATTCTCAGATACATCCATGACTGCAATCGAAGGGCAGTTAGCAGGCAGCGGCATGGGTTTTTTTTCTTCTTGAAAACTAGTAAAGAGAGGTCTCTTTGTATCTAATCATTGGACAGCACAAACATATGGGAAGAACAGATAAAAACTATAGTAAATAAATAATTTTGAAACTTTAGCCAATAGGACAAAAATATTTAAAAACATTACAATCCTGAAACAGTACCTTATACATAGTTACTTTTTTGAAAGTATATGCGGAAATTTCTTCTTCACTCTGTGGCAAAACTTAAAGCTTTCATTTTTATTATTTATACAAAACAGAAAATTATTTTTAATGTAAATAACTTGTACAATTTTGAGATCCAGAAACTGAATGATGTCAGATTAGCAGTAATGTAACTTTTTTGGGTATCTATACATTGTTATGAATATAAAACATTTTGTGATGTTATAGATTAAAAACTAAGACATGGTGGCATATCTCTGTAATCCCAGCATTCTGGATGGCTAAGGCAACAGGATCCCAAGTTTGGGGCCAGCTTGGGCAATTTAGCAACTTAAAGAGGTCCTGTCTCAAAATAACAAAATGAAAACTGCCCTGAGGAAGTAGCTCAGTGAAAAGGCCCTGGACGTGAGCCCCCGTACCAGGAAACAAGTGAGCAAAAACTTCAAGAAATGAAAATGGGCTGAAGATAGAAACCATCAGAAGCGGAAACATTTTCATTTAAAAATAAATAACACTGATATTTTTGATAAAACAACTGTAATTAGAATCTTTAAAAGGGCTTAAGAGATGTACAATAGCATTATAGAATACATCAATGAACAATATATTCTGATACTGTAAACCTCATGGGAGTATGGTAATTAAAATATATCAAACTTTGTCTTATTTTTATTTAGGAAACCATTTGTTTATAAGTTGTGTAAATATTAAGGTATAAAATGTTATTAAAATTGTTATGAAGCTATTTGTATCCTCAAAATTTATTGATAAATGGAATACTGAATCTCTTTGTAAAAGCAAGAAACCCAAAAGCAGGAAACTTTCATTAGAAAGTACTGTTTTGAGTTAAAATGTAGCCAAACATCATGTTATACAATTATTTTATAAAAATATAAACCTGCCATTGATTTTCTTAGTTTCCTTCTAGTCACTGAGAATTTATATTAACTATAGTGTTTGGCCATCCTGAGGATAGAACCCAAGGCTTTTGCACTGAGTCACATCCCCGTCCTTTATTTTTTATTTTTAGACAGGGCCTCTTTAAATCACTAAATTACCCAAGCTGGGCCCAAACTTGAGATCCTCCTGCCTCTGCCTTCCGGAATGCTGGGGTTACAGCTTGCATCACAGTCTAGGCCAGTCTTTCAGGATCTAAGACAGCAATTTTTTCAAACTCATGAAAAAAACTTTAGACAATGGGGTGAAAATCCTCATATTTTCCTAGTACTCTTTAAATCACTTAAAAATACATATCTGATTGCTTCCACTAACAATCGTAAATATACTTACCAATGATCTTCCCGTATTTGTCACGCTTTACTCCTAGTTCTTTTTCTTCTTTTCGCCACAATTTAATTAAAAGACTAGCAGCTGTCTGACCCTTTTTCCCTCGCCAAGCATTGACATGAGCCGCTGTTTTGGGATTATCACAAAATTCAACCATTATTCCAAGTATTAGATTGCAGAATTTTTTTTGGTTTAACTTTAGCAAGAAAACAGAAACAAAGAACATTGTGATAAAAATTGAGAATGATTACTTTTATTTTAAAAAAGAGAAATACTTGTATTATCAATTCAAGAATCTAAGTTTAATTTGGGACAATCTCCAGTTAAAAATAGATACTAAGAACACTGAGTATTTTCAATATTAGAAATCAGAGATTAAAAAAGATTTATTACAATTCTTAAAGTAGTCATAAACATATATCATGATCAAAAAATGTAATTGATTTGGTTTGGAAAAAGGAGATTTGTGAAACTGAGTGAAGATATTTTATATTTATTTCTTTTGCAGTGCTAGGGATCACATTCACAGCTTTGCACATGCTGGGTAAGTGTTGTACCACTCAGCTATACCCACGCCCAGAAAGGTTGGCAGTGACATGGTTTGCTATAGTTAAGGGTTTTCACATTCTGTGTTTTATTAAAACTTGAAAAATCATATTAGATACAATATCTTCATTATCAAGAAAATGATTGATGATAAAACTGTGACAGGCAAATGCAAAGATTAAGAAATGAGGTGGACTTTTGTATCTTAAAAATTGTACCCATAGAATATTCAAGAATTCAGCAAAAATTCTCTTATCATCAAGTGCATTTTCTTTATTTTTCAGCAAACCAAAAAAAAAAAAAGTTTTTTTGTTTTTTCTTTTGAGACAGGGTCTCTGGCTATGTAGTCCAGACTGGCCTTGAACTTGTGGTGAACCTGCTGCCTCAGCTTTCTGAGTGCTGGGATTATAGGCTTGTACCACCACGCCAGACCAGAAAACAAAAATTTAGGTATTCCATCCAGTGACCTATGAAGGGTTGTGAGTTATATGAGACTGCCTGTCATATAGGAAGCTTTCTAATATTTAACCAATGTTAGCAGTTACTATTGTACACTAGATAAATATTTTAGTAGAATTTCATTAGGTGGATACTTCACTTTCAGAAGAGACAAATGTTTAAGTTTGAAGTTGACATAAAAACTTCATTAAAGCATATTTATTATTTGTAATTAAATTTATTGGTTCAGTCCACATTAAAATAATGTAGTACTAATAATACAGCAATAAAGCACACAGTGATGTATCAGGCACTATTTTAACCAAGAATGTGTATATGTATACACATGTATGCATGTGCACACAGTATCACACATTTAATTCTTCCAACGGTGTGATGAGGTAGATATGGTTGTTATCCTTGTTTTACAGAAGATGATGTAAAAACACTTATTAACCAGTTTTATTTTACAGACATGAAGGTATACAAATAATTTTAGCATGTTTGTGAAATCAAAATAGATTATGCTGTTAATAAAATCAATAGTGATGGAAATCACAGACTGTGGCGCAGCTAACACTCCCCATGAGAATCTCTCTCAAAGTTTTACTAGGACAATAGTATAATGTTTCTTCCATAGCATCCTGAAGTAGAACTGAGACCACGGCCAGGGATATAGCTCAGTGGCACAGTACCTGCTTGGCAAGTGCGAGGTTGTAAATTTGATTCTCAGTACCAAAAAACAAAACAAACAAAAACAACAACCGAAAACCAAAAAACTTAAGATTTGAGACTAGAATTGAAATTTAATTCTTCACACCTGCTCGATGGCAACTGTTGTAACTGGAAGGCTTAATGCGTTCATTCCCGCGCATCTTGGCTTCCTCAGCTCCTGCCACACTATGTGCAGTTCTTTATAAATCCTTAGCTTTGTCTAATGAGGCCTTTTAATATGTGGGGGAGAGCTAGAAGTTATAATAATGTCTGAGAGATGTGATATAGATGTGCTCATTACAAACTGTTTCTTAGGCATTTAGGAACACTAAGTAAACTGATTTCTTAACTAGAGCAGTTTTCAGAATCATTAATATTTTATGTTCACATTTTGTGTTTCATGGATCTCCAGGGAAGATTTAAACAATTTATATTTAACCCTGATTTGGGGATGCGCTTATTGCGGTCCTTGGTGTGGAAAAGGCTAAAGGTGACAGCCGGGGCAGCGATGCAGCCCAGTGCAGAGCGCTCGCTCAGGATGTGCCAGGCACACTTCCCGCCGCCCATTTCTTCTGGACTTACCACTGTTGTAACCGTTACTTACAGCCAGAACATCCAAAAGGATAAAGATGCCTTCCTTCTCAAGAAAGTAATCTTCTGAGGGATAACATCCCAAAACACAGCACCTTAAGTTAAAAGAAAGTTACCACCGACAACATTTATTGTTAAATTCAATGTATAGAGCGTTCTTTCCATCAAGGAATTTTCAAAGACTATTTTTCTTCATCCTTTAAATCAATTAACTAGTGTTTTTTTACTTAAAAAAATGGAACTTTGAAGACACTTTATCAATGTAAGTTAATTTTAATTTTTTTAAAACATCATTGTTCTTCATATCTATTTTTTTCTGCAAGTGCTTTGCTTTCAAGACCATAGTTATTCTTAAAGATCTCCTCTAGCTGCTCTAGTGAACTATCCCTTCAAAGTTTATCTGAGTACTGTCTCTTTTTCCGAAGGCTGGTGTTCCTCAAACATATGAAGCTGCTTGATGACATCTCACCTTTGCAGTTGAGATTACTTGCTTAAATGCCTGCTAAAGACTGGGGATCTCAGCAGGTAAAGAACTGAGGCTGCTACCAGGGCTACTTTCACTGTTTTACCTGTGGGGGAACTCGGGCTGAATAAGCTATTGCTAGGGCCAGCCTCCCTGTCCCAGTGCTAAATATGATTCCCTTTTGACAGCAAGTGAATGTTGATTTTACTGTGTCATGATGGTGTGCACGTGTGTGTGTTTGTGTGGGGGGTAAGGAGAGATTGGTACTCAAAAGGACAAGAGCTTGGCTCCCCCCAAACAGTGGCTTTAGGTTTTACTTCCTCTGGGGTGACCAGACATGTAGCTGCTTGGTCTGTGTGGGTATTTCTCCATGAGAGTAACAGCTGAATCAGTAGACTTAATAAACCACTTGGCCTAATGTGGGTGGACCTTAATCAGTTGAAGACTTGAAGAGAATAAAGGAAGTGGGACTCCTCTGCCTGATGGCTGAGCTAGAAGATAAGCCTTTAGGCTCCTACTGAAAAGCCGTCTCCTTTTGTGTGTAAAGCCCACTTCTCAGGCCATCAGTTGTGCTGATCTTCAGACCTTCAATCATAGGCTGGAAGAATACCATCAGCCCTCCTAGGCTCCCGCTTTCAGACTAATTTTCCAGGTTGGAACTTTTCAGCCCTCATAATTATGAGCCAATAATTATTATTATTTCTTATAATAAGTCTTTTTATAAATACAACCCTTATAGATTCTTTTTCTCTGGAGATCTTTGGCAATATCTAAATGAAAAGGATCAAGAAAAACTTAAGATGATCTTGATAAAGAAAGAAAAAGCTTAGGAGCTGGGGATTTAGCTCAGTGGCATAAGCACCTGCCTGGCAAGGGTGAGGTGAATTCGATCCTTGGTACCAAAAAAAAAAAAAAAAAAAAAAAAGCTGGAGGATTATCAGATCTCTAGACTTATTCAAAAGATATGACTACCAAAACAGCTCAGTATTACGAAGAACAGACAAGTGACCAGTAGAACAGAACACAGATCCTAGAGGCAGCGCCAAAGTGTAACACTGTAAGAGGGACAATTGTAGATTGTGTTTTTCCTGCACTAAGTTAAAGTTTAAATCACAAAAACAAAGATTTAAATTTAGATATGAGAATGATTTATATTTAAATGATACACAGTGTTATTTTGCAGAGGGCACTGGCTTCAGTTTTGGACTATCTTAAGGAAAATGGCACAGGGAAGGTGATCTCTGTGGTATGGTTTGGGTGAAGAAAATTGATATCTATAGTTGTCCAGTTAATGTTCTCATATGTGATTTTTAACTAACTTGGTTACAGTAATACCTACCAAATGCTGTCCAATGTACTAAAAAGAAGTACACTATAGCCTAAGCCACTCTGTAACTTCTTGGGGTCTGTTTTCATTACATGAAGAATTATATCTACTCCTTCAGTTCCAAAAATTTCCTGTAGAAGAAATTTATTTGAAATTATTTTTTGACATAAATATATAATCCTTTATCTTCCCCATTTCATTCCCTAAAACTATGTATCTTTCTGCCAGAAAAATATTATTAGTAACACTGTTAGGGAAATAATATTTTTAATACAATTTAAAAATTATACCTATTGGTTCTCAGGAATTCATAACAAATTATTATAAAAAGCTTATCATTTTAAGAAGTGTAGTATACTTACCTCAATCAACTTGCCAACTTTAAAATTTTTGGTTTTTCTTTTCCTCTATTTAAAAAAGTGGTAATACTTGCCCTGTAATTTTCTTTTATGTTACAATAAATGCAGTCTAAAGTCAGACCAGATGAATACTAGGTGGTGGTAATTATCATAGAAGATTTCATGGTACTTTTTATAATACTCTCCAGAGAGAAATAAGATAGAAATGATAGTTGATCTTTTAATAACATATGCAAAATTATTAACATTTCCTATCTTTTCCTTACTGGTTGTTTCTTTTTATTGTCTTGGTCTGTTCTAGTTCTCATCAGCCAGATTATGATGATATTTCCAGAAGAGCTCAGACACAGGCAAGTAGACTACAAGAAACTACATCAAGGTTTAGAGCTAAACCTACATTTACTCTTCCTTGCCTCTTCTTAAGATCTATCTATCTAAGCCTTCATAATTTTATATTATCATCTTTCCAATTCCATATTTATTTTTAAATTTTTATTTATATTTTTGGTACTGGGGATTGAACTCATGACCTCACACTTGCCAGGAAGGTGCTTGAGCCCCTGAGCTAAATCCCCAGCCCCTACCTTTCTTTATTTAAATTATAAATTTTGAGACACAGCTTACTATGGAGCTAAAAAAGATTAAGGGAATTAAGCTCTTGTTATAAATTTTACTTTTAGGTGTGAACCTAACTGAAACTCCCAAACAACATTCATAATAGTATTGTCCACTTTGGAAAACTGGCAGTTTTTCATGATGATAAATATACACCTCATTTATGTCTGTCAATTCTAACTCCAGGTTTCCACTCAGGAAAAATGAAAGCATTATATCCACAAGGAAGTCTGGTCCAAAAGCTTTCAAGGAAACTTTATTCAAGGGCCAGGGATATAGCCTAGCAGGCACAAGCGCCTGTCTGGCAAGTGCAAGGTCCTGATTTCAATTCATAGTACCAAAATAAACAAATAAATAAAATTTAAAAATCATAATTATACCAAAGGAAAACAACTCAAGTGCTTATAATTTGTAAGATGAATAAATAGATTTTGTTCTATGAGTCACAAAAAGGAATTACTTAATGATTGAGATCTATCTAGCTGTCTGAGAATCAAAAAAATGTGTACATACGCACTAAATGAAAAGGTATGATTTTTGTTTTCCTCTTTTGGGGGACCCTAGAGGATACTGTATTATCACAGAAAACTCATTATGCTGCCGGCCCTGGGAGAAGAAATTAGAAATGCATGTGCAGCAGCTCAATGTCCAAGGCTTTCCAGGCAGCAGCTCATCATACTAACAAATGTGTGGAAGATAAAGGCAACAGTGTGAGCACCTCTCATAACTGTAGAGGCCAAAGGTCATTTGTATTAATTTCATGATGTCTCAATAAATTTAATATTAAAATATTTATACAACTTTCTCTTTTCCTGAGGTGTGTATGTATTTTTGGATGGAATATCTATATTATATCTATATTGATATATGTATGTTTCAGAACTATTATTATTTCTCTCTGGATAACAGAAAGCAGATGCAAAAGTATTGTGTGATTTCATTTATGTAAAGTTAAAGATTAGGCAAAATCAATCTATAGGGATAGAAATTTGAATCACGGCCAGCTGGAAGTGTTGAGTGGCTGGTAAGGGGATAAAGAAATCTTACAGGGAGATGGGGATATCATGTTTGAATTAGAGTACTGGTTCATTAAAACCTACCGAGATATATAAGATCTATGCACTTTACTGTAACTATACTCTAATTATAAAAAAGAATATTAAACTTTCACAAGGTTAAAAAATGACATTATAGAGCTGGGGGTTTAGCTCAGTGGCGTAAGCGCCTGCCTTGCAAGCAGGCAGTCGTGAGTTCGATCCCTGGTAACGATAAAAACAAAAAAGACCAAAAAAAAAAAAAAAAGACATAATAGTTTCAGTTGATTGGGAGATCTGAAAAAAATTTTGATTTATAGGCAAACATACCTTCCTTTCAATGTGATGTTCACAAAGACCAGATACGATAAGTAATATATCAGACTGGATTTCTAAAACAATGGCCTCTTCTTTTTCATTAGGATGGCTTATAATATTTTTAAAGATTCCTGGTATAAAAATTTAAAGAATGTAACGTTATTGGACACTGCTTTTTAAAATTTGAATTAGTTTTATTTTGGAAATACTTCCAAAAAACCTCTTCACCTAGAGAAACTATTATATAAGGGGCTATTTTCGGTGCATAGTAATGCAGAAGTAATTGTAGACAGGGTGATAAATGGATTCCTCAAGCTTGCAATAAAATCAATCACAGAAGTTTTTAAAACGTGTATATAGCCCCACATATGCAGACAGGCTCAGTACAATCATTAGTCCCACATATATAGAAATTCTAATACAGAATTAATGTAGTGTCATGAAAAGATTCCCTAACAGCTAAGAGTGGTGGCGTTTATCTGTAATGCCAGCTACTTGGGAGGCCGAGGCAGGAGGACTGCAAGTTTGAGACCAGTGCTTCCTAGGTTCAATTCCTAGTACTGACCTTTGAAAATAATGATCAAATTTCTGACTGTAGCTTGCCTTGTCTGTCCCTCTCTTCATTTTAACAAAAGTGGAAGACTTCTCTCAGCCTGTTTCTACCTCTTATTTCTCTCTGCTTTTTCTCATATCTAGAGAGTCCCATGTCCTTCAAAACTCTTCCCTTCTAATCAACACTGAAAAAGATGTAAAAACAGCACTATTGCTGATGAAATGACATTCACAATGAAATCTAGCCTCAAAACATGAATTTCTTTAAGTTCTAAATGTTGAACAAAATATTTTTTCCTCTGTTAGAGTGATCACTGATTTTAGGAGGAAGGCATGAAGGTATGTTCCCATGGAAACCACAGGCTAGATCCACACCCTGCCTTGAAGAACTACTCTTGCCCCTGATGAAATATGGGTGGGGACCAGGCCTTAGGGAGGAATTTGCTGACGGGCCAGGGCATGCAGATAGAGGGTCTGCTTTCCTTCAGCAGGAACAAGGCCAAGAGTTCTGAGACCAGCTGTCCCTGGGCCTCCTCCTCTTTTTCTAGGTTATCTCATTCCAGGTACAGGCTTGAAATTTCCTTGAAGTTGGTAACACATAAAACATTCATACTGGATTATTTCTTCATATTCAGGTACCCTTTAATTCTTTGCCTTTTCCTCTCCTTATTCTACTCCAAATCATTCTATTTCTTCCAGATTCTTCATCTGAAAACACAGCTTTGGATAGATAGCCTGACTAATCAAAACTTAGGTAACATTCGCTTTCTTCCCTGATACACATATTTTCCTGTTATCACAGGACACAAGGTTCCTAGTGTCCTGATGATAGACACTGATCCCAGTGTCTATGCAAAAATTATATTTACATAGAAATTGCATTTACAACTTATAACATAATTACTATTGGGTATGTCAGTACTGTACTCTATAGCCCTGTTAGATGAAAAAAGATAAGCTCCCTGCTGCTGAGAACTCACATGATAAAGATCAGCTTCTTACTAGTTAAGAGAAAAAGGCAGACATTTTTGCCTACTCCCTTTACAATACACTTTCATTTCTCTTACAATCCGTATAATTGGAGGGCTCTGTCCCTTTCTATGAGTCTCTAGAAAAGGTAAAAGATGTCGTTGAGTCGGCATCTGTAACTAACTGATACCTAGCACTGCTTTAGCTGGGATCACGACTGCCTACAAGGGCTGCTATGTTGAAGGCTTTGATGCTATTGGGAGGTGGGCCCTAGGAGAAGGAAACAAGGGTCCCAGGGGGCCTGATTCCTCCCTCTTCCCTCTCTTCCTTACTCTTGGCCACCATGTGGTGGCAACTTCCTCTGTCAGTGCTCCCACCATGATGCACTACCTTATCACAGGACCAAAAGTGAAAGGCTGACTGACCGTGGACTGACACTTCTGAAACTGAGCCAAAATAAACCTTTATTCCTAGTAAGTCCATTTCTTTCAGAAATCATTTGTCATGGTAATGAAACGTGAAGTGAGCAGAGCAGAGCCGCTCCTCTGTGTTTTTGTATGATTGGTTTCAGAAGCCCCTTGGTTACCAAACTCATGAAAGTCCACTGCCTTGTGTATATTTGTGTACAAACCATACATATCTTCCTATGTACTTTAATTTCTATATTACTTACAATACCTAACACAATGATAATGTTAGGAAGTAATGACAAGAAAGTAAGTCTGAACAATCCCAGTTCAGACATAGCATTTATTTCTCGGCTATTTTTGATGTGCAGCTGCTTGAAATCCTGCACACAGAATCCAAAAATATGGAGGGCCAATGTATAAGATTTATATGAAGCAGTCACTGACTATGTATGACTGACACAACTCTTACTTTTCAGAGTAAGAAAGGGCAGGGCTGCAGAGTCATTTTACATACCAAAAGGTAATGGTTTTTGTTTAGGCATCTTACATTTTACACAGAGCTCATTGTATACCGTCCAAGGGACAAGGGGACTTACCATAATCAGTTGTAAACTTATACACTGAGTGTCAGTGATCTAGCACATCAAATGCACTGGAAAAGACAATGTGGTCCTCTTTTAAAATAGTTCCGAGATCTTGACCGAAAGTAGTGATCATATTATTAGAGGAATGAAATATAACAGTGCACTAAAAAGGTGATCATAAATCAAATGGTGTTTGAATTGAAGAAACCAACGTTTAAAGGAATAATGACGGTGAGGTTACATTAAGAAGAAAAAGTACATGCAAGTTACAGTATGAATGAAGATCAGGAAAATATCCACGAGTTTATCAGCCATAAAGACAAAATAAATAGGAAAATATTTCAAACAAAATCTCTAACATACAACTATTCTTTCACCAGTAACTGCCATGCTAGATTTTACCTATCAGTTGCTGCACTGTTCCCTTTTCACAAAGATCTGCGTTCACTGTCTCGTTTTCAAGGTAGACCATGGCTCTCAGCAGCCTTAATGCATAGCGCATCTGTGCGAACTTGTTGCCACGGCCACCCGTCCCATGGAAACTGTTACCATGACTAAAGAAAGGATCTGCGGGGAAACATTAAGGATTTACTTTACACAAAAGACTTTATAATATAAAACAAATGTAAACATAAACAAGGTGTCAGACATAAGTTTAAACAGATGTTAAAATTTTGCCGAATTTCTTCACTGTCTGGAGAAAAATACCCTTCCCCCCTTCTATTCTCAGAATGAAATGCGTGCTTTTAACTTCTTACTCAAAAATATATTTTTTGCAGGTTTTGTAACTTTCAAATATGCAGTATTATGTTTGTAAATTATTCTCATCATTCATATGTAGACCTAGATCAGTCATTTTAATTGTTTTCAGTATTCTTTGCATAAATGAATCACTGTTTATCTACTTACTAGTATAAACTGCCAGGAGAAACATTCTGGTTCACATTTCTTCACACTGAGAAGCTTTTCCGAGTGACCCTAACACCACTACCCTCATTGAAGATGAGCAAATTGCCAAGGTGCTTCCCAAGGTTTAACATGGGATTGATTTTTTTCCACATCTACTAAGTGTGAAATAGTAGTTTGTTTTTATATTGATTTGCATGTCAAGTGGCGAGTGATTCTATGGTTACTAATTGGATTGAGGGTTTTGAGTGTTTTTGAAAAATTCAAGATTTTTCCTGTGACACATTGATCTCCATTTTTGTATGATTCTTTAATGAAATATCTCTTTATACATTAGGAGCTTTTTATGAATTTAGATTTTAACTCTTGACCAGTCACAAGGGTAGTACATATCTTATCTCAAATTATAGGCTGATATTTTATTTAGATTTTGTCATACAACCATTTTGAAGTTTTACAATTGGCAAATATGTCAGATTTTCCCTGTACAGCTTAAACTTATTAAGTGTTTCTTAAAGAAATCTTTTCCAATACTGAGCATCTATAAAATATCTATAAAAAGATATTTTCCCATGTTTTCTTTTAAAAGTTTTACACTTTAAATTCTCATTTTAAATCTTTAATTCATTTTCTTCTTTTTAACCAAGTGGAAGGATCTAATTTTCACCTTTTTACACTGGGGGCAACTATTCAGTGTTCTTCACTTATGGGTTGGCAAAATCATCTCTGAAAATGAAATGTCAGTGTTCTATAGATTCCCATCTACTGATTTACTGCTGGCCCAGGTCTATGGATATATGAAAAATTATTTACTATAGCTTGGCAAAAAAGCAAGACAAATTTCCCTTCTGTAAGTTTTCTTTAAAACTTTAAGAGGTAGCTTTATGTTTAAAATTTAGAAGTTTCAAATACAGTACTGTCCTGAGTATTGTGTGGGCTTAATGTGGGGGCTTTCGAACCTGAGTTAAAGCTTCGCTTTGCTACTTACACTGTGGCCAAGAAGTTATTTAACTTCAAAGAACAAGTTCCACCCATAAACACACCCACCATAATAGTACGTATGTCTCCAGATTTTTCAGAGGACTAAATGAATTAGTAATACTTGTAAAGTGTTCAAGACCTAGCATATAGTAGATACTAAACAATTGTTAGCTGTTTGTACACTCTGAATAGGCAGTATTTTTACTTTTGTTTTGCAGCCTTCTGTAAACATAAATGATGTAAATGTAGACAACTAACTTTTATTTAGTGAAAAGTAACAAGATTAAATTTAGTAACTCTGTATATTAGAAATTAGACAATAAAATGGCTAAAAATTTTTATCTGCTTCAGGGACAAATTATACTGTTTTAAAATTTTTATTGGTGCATGTTTGTAGTGCATAATGTTTACAATTTTGGGGGAAGTTGGTCCATACATGGATCTTAATTGTTTTGAATCCTCTTTCCCTTCTCTCTTCCCCCTCCAGGTGTCCCTTGATCCCCTTCCTTACTTTGGATGAGTGCAATAAACAATAAAGAATAGCCTTTTTTGAGAGGGTTCTATGTTTCCCAGGCTGGCTTCAGATTCATGAGTTCAACTGATCTTGGTTCAGCCAGCCAAGTAGCAAGAAGTATACACATACAAATCACTGCACTTGGCTATTCTTGGTCTTATGCATACATGTGGTACGAAGTTATTTAAGAGCAAAACTAATAGTTCTGGGTGTGGTGGCACCCACCTGTAATCACAGCACTCAGGAGGCTGAGGCAAGGGGATCACTGAGAGTTCAAGCTCAGCCTGGGCAACATACTGAGACTTTATCTCAAAAAAAAAGAAAGAAAGCCGGGATTTACCTCAGCAGCATAAGTGCCTGCCTTGTAAGCATGAGGTCAAGAGTTCGATCCCTGGTACCAAAAATATTTTTTTTTTAAAAAGGAAAGAAATAGTATTTTTCTGATAAATTTTTAAATATATGAAAATATGTATTTCCTCTCCCAAAATTGAAATAATATACTAAAACACACTAGTCTCTGCTAACTTGGTAAGATTATATATGGAGTTACTATGTCTGGCTAGAAATCTAAATTTTAACCTCCATGAAGGTAAGAATTTTTATTTTAAATATAAATGTATTTTCAGCAGCTAAAATAGTATGTGGCAGCTAGTGGACAGTCAGGAAACGTTTGTTGAGTAAATAGACTAAGACATGGCCAGGATTCATTTCCTTCTAAATACAATTCTTGCAGAGGAGTTTGCATGCATGATTTAGGCATTTATCAATTATTGTTACAACATTTACTAACATCTGACTTTGAAATCTCAGTGGGTTGTTTTAATATTAAAAGGACAGAGTTACGTATTTTTTATTTCTTGTCCCTGTAGCTTTATACACATTGAGAAATCAAGAAATAGGCAAGATTCAGCTTTGGCGAGACGGACACTCACCTTCACTCTCACACCATTCCAGGAACTCCAGGACGCGCGCGTTCCCCTGGCATGACAGGTACTCTTCTATTAACAAGGGAGCCACGGAGGACAAAGTTGCAATCGCATGCAGTTGTAGTTCTTCGTACTGTGCTGCAGACCATTCTATTGCTTTGTGTTTCTCAGGCTTTTTAACATAGGTGAGTAAAGCCAAAACAACTTTGCCATCGATTAATAGCTACAAGAAAGGACGAAAGACACTTTCGTCAGAAGCATAATTAAGTAACTTTATTTAATCTAAGAAAATTAAAGAGGTCAAACTTGGCACATTCAAAACATTTGGTCAATTCAAAACATTCCCTTTCTAAACATCACATATATGGTGGGTATCAAAAAAAACATAGAAAAAACAAACAACAACAAAACAGTAATGGTAGCATAATTATTTTGTCTACCTGGCTTACATAATTTAGCTTCTGCTTAGTATAAAATCATCTGAGTAGAAAGCTTAGAGTAAATAAACCTTTGGCATTTTTTCCCCTCTGTTCTTTCAAAGGAAATGTTGGAGGAACAGGGAGTCAGCCTCAAGGTCATGTGCATGCTGTGCAACACTCTCCCAACATACTCTACCCTGGTCATGAGAGGAAGCGTCTCATAGGCTCACTGTATCCATCTGAAGTAAAGACTGCAGCTAATTTTCAACCACACACAAAATAACTTACATAAGCGTTTCATCAAGTGAAGTCAGTCAGGTTACAAGCTGTGTTTAACTATATGTCTAGTATTTTAAAATTTTCTTGAATGTAGCATTTCAATAAAAAAAGAATGCATTGTTATTATAAAATGACAACACAGGTAATAGAGCTGATTCTGACTGATCATAATTATAATAAAATATGTGCATTATACTTAGTTCTCCATTCATTGGGCATTGTTCTACAGACTTTTCTAAAATAGCAACTATTAATTTGTCTAGATTCTCTAAATAGTCTACTAGTCTCTCACTTTAGTTTAATATGACAAGGACGTAAGATTTAGAGTTGAGAAAAAAGGAGTAACTCCTCATTCCAGCATCACTGTGAGAGGTAAGTGGATAATGGTTATGAAGGGTTCTATGAACCGCAAATGACCATACACGTTCTTTTATTCTTTTAATTTTTTTTTGTCATGGTACTGGGGGTTAAACTTGTGACCTCGTGCTTGCCAGGCAGGTGCTATGCTGTTGAGCTATATCCCCAGCCCCCGTTCTTACCACAGTAATAGACTCATCTGTCTGTGAAATGTTCAGTCAACTAAAATCAGCAAGTATAGGGCAAATTTTATTTATTTCCTTAGATCTGTGACTTTTAGTTATATAATTCTCTACTATAATAATAAACTATACTTTATGGAATGGTTCTCTATTTGGCATTTTAGAAAATACATTTAGGATCTATACATTACATATTTTTGATACTAATAATAAAGTTATAGCTCTAGGCACAATTTCTTTTTCTAGGCCAAATATATATATTTCCCAAAGTGGCCAGACTAAGAGAATGCTGGGCTCTTCAGACCTTCATAAAAATCCCACGATGGTGTGTTATTTTCACGTGGAAGATGAGCTACCTGGAATTCAGAGAAATTTAAAAACCTCTTTGAGGACATATTTCTATAGAAAGCAACAGCACTGGAATTCTGCCCTACAAAAGCCTTACAGCAGTGTACTGCACCACATTTATATTATCAATATTGACACAGATAGAATAAATTTCCCTTTATTTTTATGAAAAGTAAAAGAGTTTTAGGACTAAAAGGAAATTTTAATTAACATGGTGAGTAAGCTAATAGAACTCTAATCATTTTTCTGTCGCTTTAGAGTTTATTCAACCTCCATCGCAACCTCATAAGAGTCCCGTGAGCGAGGCAGATGTGTCCGGACCGCTCCCCTGCAGGGAGACTGAACCTCTGGAAGTGCAGGTTATCTGCTGAGGCCCCACAGAAGCAGGTGCTAAGTGAGAAGTAAAGTCAGTTCCAGTGTTCTTCAAACCTCATTGTGCTGCTATATAGGAAACAAAATACTAAGATAATTAATAAATAATCAAAACATTAAAGGTATTAGGTTTGTGTAAAGAAAAAGTGAGTTCAAGATGCTTGTGGTGACACACATTTGTAATCCCAGGACTTTGGGAGGCTGAGGCAGGAGGATCACAAGTTTGAGCTCCACAAGGGCATTCAGTGACTGAGTTAGAAGTTGTCTCAAAATAAAATAAAAAATAAATAAATGGCTGGAGGCACAGGCTCAGTGTAAAGGCCCTGGGCTTAAACTCCAGTACCAAGAAGAAAAAAGAAAAAACAAGTTCATAAGGGATTGAGATTGGTGACAGAGAGGTTCACAATTTATTTTAGCTTTAAACAGTTTCTTGCCACCATCATCAGAAGCAGACACTTTGGTTGCACTGGCCTGAATGAACTTCTTTCATTTGTTGCTACCTTATTAGGTACTCCAAACAGTCATACATCAGTAAATATTTTAGTTTCTGCTATTTTTCTTTGGCTTATGTAGCTTAAATTGAAATTTATTTTATTGTTTATTAATGGGTAAGAAAGGAAATTTAAAATTTGTTCATTTGTTTTTTGAGACATGGTCTCATTATGTAGTCCATGCTGGCCTTGAATTCACCATACAGCAGCGGCTGGTCTGGAACTCACAGTGACCCACCTGCTTCAGCCTCCTGTGTGCTGGGGTTATAGATGTAAGCCACTATACCTGGTACAAGTTTTTTAAAAAGCTGAAATTCAGGGCTGGGGATTTAGCTCAACGGTATAAGTACCTGCCTGCTCAGTGTGAGGTTGTGAGTTTGATTCCCAGTACCAAAAAACAAACAAACAGAAAAAGGTAAAATTCAAAGTAAGAGGAGTTTGTTATTTTTTATGGTAAAGATATGGGTTGATAGGGCTGGGGATAGAGCTCAGCAGCACAACGCCTGCCTGGCAAGTGCAAGGTCCTAAATTCAATTCCCAGAACCAAAAAACAAAATTATAAAACAATACAAGACAAAGATATGGACTTTTGAATTACTTAGTCATGACTTTGAAAAGGTTATACTATAAAGTAAGATTAACTGTATTTTCTTATTTTGTTTATTCTTTACCTGTACAGTAGGCAAATCTTTACATAAGATCACAATTATATTGAATAGCAATTTCTTCAACTCAAAATCTTCATAGGCGTTAGAAAGCTTCAGACCTTTTACCAAAGGATTTTGACTCTTAACTGTGAAGAAAAAAAGTAAAATAAAATGATATGTAAGACGCATTAGGACAGTTATCAGAAGTTTAAAGTTTTATGTTTTCTTTACCTTCATTAAAAGTTGCAAATAAGATCAGATCTCTGGTAAAGCCACATTCCTAATACAAACACACAAAACATTCAGAAAGGTGAATTATTTAGGATGGAAGTTATGATAATGACACTCAATTTACCTTTCAGTTATCCCTTTATGAAGTTTACGTAGTATAATTCATTTAAATTATAAGTACTAATACTACTAAGAAATGAAAGAAAATAAAAGCACATAGTTAGATAAGAGTTATATTTTACTTAATTTTAAACTTGCTTCTGTAGGTTCTAAGAAGTATTTTACATTATTCTGCAAATATTTTGTAGGATACAGTTTAACATTCAGGAAGAACCCAAAGTATGTTGGCCTGTACAGTTACTTCAGTAGCTCATTATCCATACCTTTACGTGACATAGTATGGGAGAAAAATCCAGTTGTATTCAATAATTTTCTTCCTTAAAAAACCCACCCTTTGCCAAGCCCTCTCATTATATGAAATCTTTGGCTAAGAGATAACAAAATAGTGGCAATGAATATGAAAAGCCCTGAAGAATGACCAAATTTGTAAACATACATCTGACAGATGTATCCTTGATATACGTTAGGAGAAATTAATAAATACAAACACTTTGAGCTTAAGACTTTGTGTTCCTACTGCTTTAGGATTCTACTGCTTTTAATGAAGGGGCTTCCTTGAAATGTGAGCATATTACTGCATAGAGTTGTACTGGTGAAATCGGTTGGCCATTTTCCAGTCGTGAGGACTGACTGGCTGGCCAGGGCTTTCCAGGTAAACGGAGAGCTCTGCCTTCACTGCAGCCTTCAGTAGGATGCAGATTAGGATGCAGATGAGGATGCAGGATGAGGATGCAGGACTGTTTCCATTTGCTCAGCATGAGTTTCTAATGTTGGGACCACTTAATTTTCCTTACCAGGGACTCACACTGACAGCCAGTCCTTGAAGCACAGTTTAGAAAGGACATGGCTGGTGTGTGAGTATTGTTGCAGATCTTTCTATTCTAAGACTGCAATCATTTACTGATTTTTTTCACATTAGAAAGTATACAGAGGCTCAGCTTTCTGCATAGCTGAGCAGCTCCTTGAAGATGAATGTTGTCAGGAACTGTAAACTCTGGACAAGAACAACAACAACAAAACACCTCAAAACAAAATCACCCTGAGCCACCTAATGGCAAAGAGCAAGTAGATACTGAACAGAAGGGAGAACCTTGAAAAATGCAAATGGCATTCTATAAATTCCTATCTACCATTTTTTAAAAAAACGAGAGCATGCACTATTTTGTAGCTTGTAAGGAAACTAAAACTCAAAGTTTTAGTGAGGTCTTACTGGCCTGAAGAATCATACAACAGAGATAACCACAGTCAGTAAAGGGTAAATCTCTTAAAGGGAAGATTTACGGTGGAGAATCCTAATTTCTGAATATAAACACTTATCAAATCCCTGATTGATGCCTAGCCATATAAACACAGCCAGTATATTTGTATCACAAGAAATGATACAGGAATTTTTTTTCAGGAAAGAAAAATGGTACCAAATGCAGACTCAAATCATCAGGACAGGGAAGAAAGAAAAGCCTCACAAGGGGTGGATCTGAGTGTGAATGAGGAGGACTGACATTTTCCACAGGGGTGCAAAGGACTGGCACAGCAAAAGTATAACGGTGACCATCATGACATTACAATGGAACATGGCATTATAAAGATACATAAACATTACAGCGTAACTTCGGACTTCTGGCTCCCATGCCCACCACTTCAATTCAAATTAATGCAGTTTGACTTATACTTACAATCATCGGTGCTTCCCGGTTTTGAGCTATAATTGTAGTAATCACTAATATGTCATTTCTAAGCTGGCGATCATAATGACTAAAACCTCTCATAAAAAGAGTTTTAAATATTTCCTTCAGAGTCCTAGAAAATAAAACCATATTTTAAAAATACTATTGTTATGGACTAAATGTTGTGTCTTTCCAAAATTCATACAGTACCATTAGGAGATGGGACCCATGGAGGTGATTAGGTCATGAGAATGGACCCCTTGCAAATAGGATTAGTATTCTTACAGCAGAGACCCAGAGGGCTCCTTTGCACATCTTCCATGTGAAGAGACAGGAACTCAGCAGTCTGCAGCTGGGAAGAATCCTTTCACTAGAACATCGTACTGTACCATGATCTAAGGTTCTAGTCTCCATAACTGGGAGAAATAAATTTTGCTTATAAACCATCTAGTATGTGCTATTGTTAGTGACTTGAACTGTGTAATACTGGGTCTATCAACAAAATCTTACTTTTTATATTATTCTATTCATTTAAAAGTATTTTTAGTCTTTTCCACATTTCCCAATCTGTCTTTATTTTACTACATATGTACTAGATAAGAACCTACTGACCGGAGCTAGGGATTTAGCTCAGCAGCATAAGCACCTGCCTTGCAAGCAGGCAGTTGTGAGTTCGATCCCCGGGTACCAATAAAAAGGAAAAAGACAAAAAAAAAAAAAAAAAAAAAGAAAAGAAAAGAAAAAAAGAACCTACTGACCCATAAGTCTATACAATGTTGTAAAAGTGACTGTGTTAAAAGCTTTAACTATGTCATGTTAAAACGATTAAAAGGCTTTAGAAAACCATTTAAAATCTTTTTAGTGTTAGGATAAAGTCTTCTTGATAGGGCTTCTTAGGTCTTTGATGTTATGGTTCCTTGAATCCGCACTAACACTGTTAGTCTCATCTCTTAGCAGTCTACTCTATTCTTTTCGCCCTTACTACAATAATTTTTTTTTTTATTTTGCTAAGTTCTGTTTTCATTGATTCCTCCACTTTCCTGTCTAGGATACTCTCCATACAAAATTTTTCCATGTTGTCAATTCCTATTTACTGTTCTGATACCAGACTAAGTTTATCACAAAGTGCTTATTAATTCAAGTCTGGGTCAGGTTGCTGCTAAAGTAGACGTTTGTGACTCTGCCTCTTAGGACTAACTTGCACTTTCTATGCTGACAGTATCCTTGTCTCTATTTAGGAATTTCTGATTCTGGATGAACAGGGACTCAGTGTGAAGCCCCTTCTTTGGGCTTTTAGGTAGCAAACCTTTGCTTCTGCTTTATTTGGAATTGAGAACATGTGAGGATTCACCTGTAATATATCAATGCATGGAGCTTGGGAATGATGCCAGTACAGCAGAGGACAGCAAGAAGAAAAGAGGGACCAAGGGTTGGTATTTGCTGAGTCTTGCATGCAGCAATAGGTAAGGCCAGTGTCACCTTTCACTTTGAAGCTGCCTGAGGATGGCTACTATGTAAACGGCCTACACTGCACATGTAGGATTGGTGTGCTGGACAACTGGAAACAAAAAGGTGTTACTTTACTTTCTTCTAAAGAATAGTCAGAACTTTGGGGTAACTTCTTTCTTTTTTTTTTATTTTATTTTTATTTTTTTAATTTTTTTATTTTTTGGTCTTTTTTTTCTTTTTATCGGTACCGGGAATCGAACTCACTCATGACTGCCTGCTTGCAAGGCAGGCGCTTACGCCGCTGAGCTACATCCCCAGCCCCGGTAACTTCTTTCATAACATTTAGCACACTTTCTTTTAGTTGCCTATTTACTTGTCCTTTTTTTTTTCTAGCATAATGTAAACACCAGGAAAGTAGACGAAGTCCCATCAAGCTGTTGTTCATCTGTTTCCATTGGTTTTAACATGTTGTATCTTACTATATTTTACTATATGCGATAGTAAAAACAAAATTTTTTATAGGCAGAGAGATAATATAGAAACCGTTGTTCGTTTTCTGTTAGCTGGTTCTAAATACCCTGTAATTCTTACATTCTCTTGAATGGCTTCACACTGTCTTGATATGTTTGATGCTATAGTATATGAAGTTATACTCAAATATCTTAAGGAAAGAGACACTATGGTGACTACTATTATGTCAGGTTATCTCGTGGTGAAACACAGTGATGCTTATTCAGTTCCGACCTGTGTTTTTCTGTTGCTATGTCCTCTTTTATCTCAATTTCCCCCTTTTTAAAAAAATAATTTTTCTTATTTTTTTAATTAAGGGAAAACTAAATTAAAAAATAGCAGGATATATTATAGTAATTTTTTTTCCTATTAACCTGATTTGAACCCCTGTAATGCTCTCCCCATCATGTTCTGACTGATTTTACTATATTCTGTTTTGTTTGATAGTATCAAATTTGAGGGTAAAGGCAACCACGTCGAAGGCAATAAGATTTACTATGATGCCCATTATGGTTTGACTATTATTTTCTTTTGAAGTCCTGTAAGGTCTCCAATGTAGGTTTTATTGGTCTTGTTCTATACTGTTTTGTTCAATTCTACTATACCTGATGATATATAGGCAACTCTTTTTAAGATAGCAAGAGGCATAATGGTAACCATTGTTGATCACCTGGTATTCTGTTTTGCATCACGTACTATGTCCATCCTTGTGTTCTGACTCTGTTTTGCTTTGTCACATTTGTTTTTTTTTTTTTTCTCTTTAAAAAAAAGGTTATAAGAACTATGGGAGTAATAAAACCTAAAAAGTGTAATTGTTATTGTAAAAAAGAGAGGAAAAGAAAGTGATCTAAAGGATATAACTTCATGTATATTTAAGTGTGTAGGATAGAAAACCATATTACCGAGTTTTTGTTGGATCACTGAACAGAACTGTCTGCAATCTCACTATATGAATGTCCACTTTGTATGCTTTAATTTTGTAATTTGGACAACTGTTTCTAAGATTACAATATGTATCTTTAACTAGTGATTTCTTTTTGTCTTGAAATTCTGTATTACTTGTACCCTTTTACTGCTTTGTTTTTCTCTCTTTAAACAAAAAAAAAAAAAAAATAAATAAAAAGAAAGTAGACAGCATGGCTGTACTGTTTCCAGTTGTGCCTTTACAGCCTACCACTAAACTTGGCACAGAACAAACAATAATTATTTATGGAATAAATGAATAATAAACTTGTAGCCTTATTTTTTATTGCTAATGTTTTTGCTTTGACACAGATTTTTTTTTTCAGTACTAAAGATTGAAACTAGGGCTTTTCTACTAAGCTATATCCCTAGACTTTTTTTATTTAGAGACAAGGTTTCAGTAAATTGCACGGGTGGAGCTCAAACATGCCATCTTTCTGCCTCAGTTTCCCAGAGTTCTGGAATTACACGCATGTACCACTACGCCTGGTTTAAATGTGTATAATATATTTTGATCATATCCATCTCCCATTACCCTCCCTTTCCACTTCCCTTCCACTTAATCCCTTCCTTTTGTCTGATAATAAGACTTCCTTGTACTTTTATGTCTTTGTTGTTGTTGTTAGTTAGTAATACATACAATATTTGTCTTTCTGAGTCTGCTTTAGTTCATGTAACATGGGAGTTTCCAGATATATTCATTTTCCTGCAAGTGACAAAATTTCATTACCCTTATGGTTGAAATCAATCAATAAATCAGTCTATCATCTATCTGATGTATATGTATATATATATGTATGTGTCACACTTTATTTACTTATTCATCATAGGCACTGAGGTTGGTTCTGTATCTTGGCTATTGGACATACACATGGACATGGGAAGGTGAGTATCACTGAAGTGTGCTGACTTTAGTTCCTTTGAGTATTTAGGAGAGACAGAGCAGAACCAAATGTCAGTTCTCGTTAGTTTTTCAGGAACCTCCATCCTAATTTCCATGGTGGTTGTATTCCTTCCAGTGGTGCAGATGAGTTGCTTTCCTTCTGAATCCTCACCAGCATTTATTGTCTTGGTAACAGCCATTCTGACTTGGGTAAATGTAATCTCAGTGTGGTTTTGTTTGCATAATGGTTAAAGATGTTGAACATTTTTTCATATACTTATTGACAAACTGTATTTTGTCTTTTGAGAAATGTCTGTTCAGTTCATTTCCCCCTTTATTTATTGGGCTATTTTAATTTCTGGTCTTACATTTTTTGAGTTCTTTATATAATGTTCACCTCAGTGACCCAGTCTTATTCACGAAGTGTTTGCTTATGCCTATTTCCTCTATGTTTTCTTTTAGCAGTTTCAATTTTTCAGGTCTTATATCTAGGTCTTTTATCCATTTTAAGTTGATTTTTGTTTAGGATGACAGATAAAGATATAATTTCAATCTTCTACAAGAGCCTAATTCCTCAGCACCATTTGTTAAAGAAGTTGCCTTTTCTCCAAGGTATATTTTTACCTTCTTTGTCCAGAATCAGAGGGCTGTGGTTGCATGAGTTTGTTTCTGTGACCTCTATTCTGTTTCATTTGACTACATTTTTATTTTTTATGCCAGTTCCATATTGTTTTTGATACTACTGTCTTGTAGTGTAATTTTAGATCAGGTATTTTGATGCCTCCAGCCTCGCTCTTTTTCCTTAGGATGGCTTTTATTATTCTGGATTTTTTGTGTTTCCATACAGACTTCGTCATTGTTTTTCTACTTGTATGATGTATCCTGTATGATTACTGGAATTTTGATAGGTATTGCACTGGCTCTGTAGATTGCTTTTGATAACTGGCCATTTTGACAATATGAATTTTTCTAGTCCATAAACATGGGAGGTATTTCTATCTGTTGATGTCTTCTTCAAATTCTGTCTTTAATATTCTGAAATTTTCATTGTAGAGGACTTTTACCTCGTTGGTTAGATTCTTAGTTATTGTATTTTTTGAAGCTATTGTGAATATAATTGTTTCCTGATCTATTTCTCAGCTAGTCCATTATTTGGGTACAGAAAAGCTATTTATTGTTGATTTTATATTCTGTTGTTGCTAATTTTCTTGAAGTATTTGGAAGACAGTAAACCCTTTACAAGTGATTCACTGAATAAATGAAATAGTTCTCCTTAATGTCTAATTTTACTTTATATATATGCAAAGCATAATTAGCCTTAACAGGCCATTTTAAAAGCCTTCCACAAAGAAAAGCATGGCTTCCACTGGAGATCTTTTTACACAATAGCACACATATACAAATGTCCTGAAATACAGCTAGGTTATAAATCAAACAATTAAATAGGCATTCAAAAAAGATGCTCGTTACATCTCTGGCTACTTTTTTAACAGTTAAAAAACATTCCTATCCAGTTGCATATACTTACACCAAACATTCCAAAGTACTAAGCTGCTGTATGATTTCCTCCTTTGGAGACTTTTCCAGTAAGTTCCAAAGTATTTCTGATGAACGAAACAGAAGTTGTCCCGAGGGATCTGGGTCATTGAGGTGAACACAGATTGTGCTGGCTGCTTGTGCTTTCACCATTAAAACACAATTAACTTCTAAAAATAAATTTGAAAAATTATGTTATATAGCCTTAATGTTGTTAAAAGGGAACCAAACTAACTGACAATGAGGTCTTCAAATTTAATAAAGGTATACAAACCAGAAGTTGAGAGATGCTGCAGAACTTTAAGTACCCAAAGTTTCTCAATGAGTTGATTTTCAAGCAAGGTCATTGACTGAACCATTGTTTTTGCCAATCCTCCGACCTCAGCCATTTTAGCCTTGTATGATGAACTAGCTTGCTGGTAACCTAACACAATTAGTAAATCTGTATGGTTATTCCATATAATGATAATTAAAACAAAGGAATGATTAATTTGTTACTTAATGATAACAATAACAAAAATTTCATGAAAAGTGTATAGCATTTAAAAATTAACACAGATTTGGGCAAACTTTTTCTTTTTTATATTAATTTTTTAAATTTTATTTTAAAAAGGAAAAAGAAGTTAGAAAAGAAAAAAAGCAAAAGAGGTAACAACAACAAACCCAAAACAAAAAAAGATAACAATATGCAACATAACAACCATTGTTAAATTTCTTTCATTCTATTTTGAAAATCTATATTGTTATTGTTTTGGGCAAACTTTTTCTTTAAAGGACCAGATAGTATGTATTTTAAATATACAGATTTTAAGGTTTCTGTCTTCTCAACTAGAGTGTTGTATCATGTTACTATAGCAAGAAGACAGCCATAAACAATATCAAAGTCAAGGGGTACAGTATTACAGCAACATTTTATTTGCAGTGCTGAGGTCCATAGTTTGCTGAGTCCTAGGGTTGCATTTGAACTATTATCTCAAATCTTTGAAGCACATCTCAACTTCTAAAAGAGACAATATTGCTTATTTTTCAATAGATATAATTTTCTGGTAAAAGAAAGTGAGACGATTACAAATGCTGAAAGCTTTCACTATTGAAGACAATGCCTTACTTCTGTGCTTTCAATGGATTACATTACAATTACATGGTTTCAGCAGCCAAGAACAAAAATATAATGTTCCTTTGACAAATGGCCATGCATGAAATGGTATTTTGAGAAGATCGAGTCTTGGAATTTCTCATAAGAACTTCCTTCTGTCTTAAGTTCTGCTGCAGTTGGACAGGTGCCTGGCTGACTACATCTTAGTTAAAAGGATTAAGTAAACACTGGGCAACGTTCGTTCATCTGCGATAAGGCTCTCTTCTCTTTTGATGATCTCACTTCTCTAACTCCCTGACAGCTTGTCTTTTGAGACCAATTACATTCCTTAACTTTGCAATATTTGTTTTCCTTTAATTTTACCACCAATAGATAACAACATTGATATATTCATATATTTTTGCTGATACTTTTAATTTATGCACATAACCTTATGTTCTACAGTAACCTACTAAATTTATAAGCTTTTTCCTAGCTATAAATTATTTCCCAAAATCATTTTCTTTGTGTAATAGTCTACTGTATGGATAGTTGAAAATGTGCTACTTGCTATGTATTTTTTTCTATTGAGTTTGTTTCTATAGCAGGATATGATAACATCAAGCCTCATGGACTTGATTCCTATCTCCAGAGCCATGTCTCCTCCAACTGTTCTAGTGTGGCATTTCTAGCTATGATCCAGATGTCCCCCAGATGCCCATCATTTGAAACTGTGTGACAGAGAAAACACAGTTAATGCTCAGTCTTCAAAGCTTGATCAAATAAAGATTCACCTCCCATCTCTGCACTTCAGCAGTCCTGTGTTAACCTGTGCATCACTAGCTTCCTTTCTTTAAAGGGTGTCTGTTTTCTGCCAAGCTTGTGCTCTTAATTCTATCTTCTCATACTTTTTTTCCCAGAGTTCTGCCCTCTCATTTGCCATTTACTAAACTCTTTTGTCTAAACACTTTGTCAGCACTCCTTTGTCTAAAAACTTTATTTCCTTACCCTATGAACAATAAGACCCAAGCCACCTTTCTTTAACTTAGCTACCAGGTGAGCACTTTTCCATCTTGCTTCTTTACAATTTGACCTTAACATACAAGAGTGTATTCATGAGCTAGCTGTGCTCTCTCATCTCAAACTTGCTGTCTCCACTCTCACAGCATTCTTGTCCTTTAGCTCTGCCTCTGCTATGCTCGCTTTATGTCAACAGATCTGTCAAAGATGGGTTACAGACTTTCAGACAGCAGATTAGCTTGATCTTTCCGTCCTCTTTTACAGACGCTTCTGCAGTCCCAGCCCCTCAGACCACTTCCTTCTTACATCAGACATCTCCCTCACAGGCCCTGAAGAGCTGACAGACTTCAGATGTTCTTCCTCCTTTTGAATCTCCCTTCATTCCAATTTCTTTGGGTCACTTTTTCCAAACCACAGTGTTGGCACTCTCTTTGATGTCATTCTCGGGCCCTTGCTGTTTCTATGCTTCATCTTCTGACAGAATCAACTACTGATTCATTTCTACTCCAAACCTGTATTTCTGGCTCCTGTCCTTTTCATATCCAATTTTTACTACCTACCAAACATTTCTTCCAGGTTAACTGATATTTCAGGTAGCACATTTAAAAATCTATTATTATATTATTAAATATATAATTTAAACTACTATTTATATTTTGTCTCCCTTCCTAGGTTAATTATAAATGAATGATACTCTACAAAGGTAAGAGGTCTTCAGCAACATTCTATTCTCACAGTGCCAATGCCTTCTGTCCTGATAGTACTCATTTCGGTGTGGTTCATTTTGCCACTATATATTAAGCTCCTTTAGTTGTAACATACAGAACTCTTTTCCCAAACATGATAGAGAACTGTACTAGTATTAGAAATTTGTTATCTAATTGGATGGGTGTTGATTAGTTTTTAAGTATGTGAGAAAAATAAATGTATTAGAAAATTTTAGTAACATAAATAACAATTGTTATAAGCTTATTTACATGTGAATTTATTATGTCATAAATATCTGGCAATAAAAATCTCATGGAAACCCCAAAAGTGAGAAAAGATATGTGTGTGTGTGTGTATGTATGCATATCTATATATATGTATATATGAAACCTTCAAAAAATATCCAAAACTTTTCAGCATGTTAGGGTTTGTGAGCCCTTTGTGTCCGTCCAGTTCAGAGAAGGGAGACAACACACCATCAAGACTTCACCTGGAATATGCTTCTTTGGTGGTTCTGCATGATAAAAGTTGACAATACACTTACAAATTTGTATCCTTAATTCAGAACTTGGTATTTTCATTAAGTCACCTGCCAGAGGGATAAATGAACGCTATGTAACAATACAGCTGTAAGATTCTTTGCAAAGTTAAAGCACAAAATATTACAATTATAAAAATAAGACATTCTCATGTGAGATTCAAGCTGGATCCCACGACAGGCAATTCACTGTGTGAACATCTGAGTATTTGTAGGCAAACGCAAGATTAAATCAAGTACAAGGGAAAGTGGTGCAATCAAGAGCCATGATAAACACCAGATGTAGAAAGCTGCTGCTGGCATAACATGCTATGCTGCTTTACAGTGAACTTTTCGTTAATAAGCAGAAAGAGCATGCTCTTGTGATAAAAATACAGTACATCCATAGGTCTGTAACACAGGTGTTCATTATCAAGTATGTATTGTACATAATTATACAAGTGTGTACTATACTTTTATACAACTTGCAATGAAAAAGGTTGATTTATATGAGTGTTATCACAAACGTGAGTAATGACATGTGCCAATTTTATGCTACATTTTAATTCTATGGTTCTACTTGTCTTATATACATGTGACTGGTTATTGACTGAAATGTAGTGTTGCAGTGCATGATTACATATGCAAACATACATCCATATATAACAACAACAACAACAATCTGGATTTATCCTTATACATTTGGTCCCTCATTGGAACAGAATGATGACTTATACCTCAAATGCTGCAATCAGACTAAGATGAAATTCTGGCTCTCCTATAGCTGTGTCTTAGCTCTCTTATCTATACAGTGCGTGTAACAATATAGCTACAGTAGATGTGAGGTCTGAGGATCAGATGAGTTAGTGTGATAAAAGGACTGAGAACGGTATCTAGCATAAATCTGGCATATCTAGTAAGCGCTACCTGTGTTAGCTACTATCTCCAAGACATAGGCTAGCCTTTTTCTTTTGAGTTGCCTAGTCAATAATTGGTTGCCATTTGTAATGCATCATACCCCAGCTAAAAATTCCAGGTGAGCTTGCCTCTTCATTTTGTTGGCAGACCAGAGAGCAAAAGTGTCCAGGAGTCTTTGTCCAACACATCATAGTTTTATGCTCAAGCTACAGGATGGGCTTGGAGAATAGGGAGGGTTCTTTTTCAGCCATATCTAAATACTGCTGAACTAGCCTGAGTTTGTACAATAATTTAAACTATATTAATGTACAGGGATAGTTCTCAAGGGACTCTGAAGATAATCTATCGTACTCTACAAGGGACCTGTGCTCTTGGGATGTGTGAGGACAACGGGAATCTGTAGTATTAGTGCTAGGATTAAACTCAGTCTGGGTGGATTCTCTGCGAACCAAAGACTGAGAAGGCTTTTCCCCATGATCTGAATTTTGGCCTAGGTCTTGTTAATACTTATGTCTGCAAGCAAACAGCAGAAAGGAAACAAGATGACAAGGAGACATGAGAAAAGCCTCCCCCTGGACTTAGAAGAATTTGTTTGCAAACGATGTTTAGAAAAGTAAAGGTTTACTTTTAGAAAAGTAAAGGTTATTCTCTCAATTTTACTTTTTGGACCCTTCTTTTGGAGTTAGAAAAACACTATTTAGGTTTTGAAAAACTTTAGGTAACAAGAACAATTAAACTGTTTGAACAAAACTAGCCAAAACATGCAAACTTTTGGGAAATTCTAGGTTTTTCATCTGCTTCTCCACTCTTTAAATTCCTATAAACTTAAATAATTTTCCACAGCTTTCTGTTTTATCATCTTTGGATAGAGTGCCAAGTTCTTCCTTGATACATTTCTGGACTCCTGCTCCTGAATTACAAATATTCATATATAATTTAGAAGAAAACATAACTTGCTAGTACATAGTAGAAGCTGGAAGTTATTAGTGGTGGTCATAAATAGCCTTCCTTCAATACTTCATTCTGTACACAACTATTTTAGTTTAAACTCATGCTTCCAAGAATAAAAACAGGGGCAAATGAGCAGTATTTATAATAAGCAAGTAATACAGGGAGCTCATAATGATATTGCCATCAAATAGTAATATGTTTTGTTGGTAGACAGTCATCAAGGAGAGTAGACTGACACTCAAGAAATGGCCATGTATGTATCCCACAAATACCTGCTAACAGTTTTGGAGGCAGTATTTTAAAATAAGGAGGATAACAGAAACATTTTATTCTTAAAATGCCAACAAATATTGCCAACAAATCTATATTTTTTACCTGTTAGTATTAACCATGTCCTTTTTTGGGTTGGCTTCTCTTTATAAAATTTCCACCAATGTTTAATGACACCTTCACCTACTCTCTATAAAACTATTGAGTGATCATCATTTAAAAGGTTTACTGGGTCAATCATGTATCTCTTGTTTTTCCTTTACAAATAAAGACCTACATTAGTAAGCACAACTTTGATGTAGAATTTATTTTGAGAACAAGCTATCAGGTCTCAGGGGCTTAAAAGTGTTTCATTGGCCTCATTTCTTAGGAAATTATTTTCTTTCTCTAGAAAATCAAGCAATAACAATATCAATAGATATCAATATCATTGGTATATAACAATATGATCATATTAAGCAGATAAAAATGCCTGTTCTTTATGATGTTTTTTATATTTTTGGTACCTGCATCTTTATGTGTATTTTAAAGTTTTTAATGTTTCATTTAATAATTTTTCATTTAAAATCTTAGATCGTTTAAAGAATGATAAAGTCCTTAATGATTCCAGCAATTCAACCCAAGGGTTCAAAGCTGAAGACATGTTTGTGGTTACTGAAAGAACAGGACATAAACTTTCTGAGCTAAAAAAGGTTCATGAATATTTAATTAACTTAACTAACATCAAGTCAAGTAAGCACAAGGACTACTCTGCTCATTTTTGCACTTCAGGAACATAGCAATCTTGTTAGTATCATAAAATATCTGGACAGAAATCAATACCAGAATTACAAAATCAGAGAAAAGCCTAGATATGGAGAGAGGATACTTTTAGTGAAACCTAGTGAAAAAAAAAAACATTTCCTTTTTGTTGACAGGGCCTGTCATATGTCACACCCTTATATTTTGAAAAGAACTTTACTTACCCAGAAGTGCAATTGAATTAGCGGTATCTTCAGCATAAGTTATTTCATCTGATACTTTTTTTTTCAAAAATGGCAAGCTTCAGTAAGAATAAAGAATGTTAGGGTAACTGTAAATGAAATTTTTGATTGAAGCATCATTTGTAAAGCAGGGAAAATTTTCTTTCTAAAGAATAAAATGAGGATGACATCTTATTCTTTAGCTGTGGGGAACTGATGACTTTAAAATAATTGTATTTGTATTTAACTGAATGAAAGAAAATAAAATTTTTTAATCAAGAGAAAGGGATATAAAAGGTATGAGCTTAAAAAAGTAATTTTGTGTCACTGTATGAATGAAAATCTTTATCTTCTTTCCATTTGAAGGCAAAGTAATAATGAATTATACCTTGTATAACTTATAATTGTATCAAAGTTAGGAAAACGTTAGATAGTCTGATATAAACCATAGGTTTAGGCTCACTTGTAAGTGGAAAACTGTTTATGGATTCTTCCTGAACTTTTTGAAACTCTAATTAATAGACCAATGCTTTACTCATTTTTAGGGTCAGGCCCTTTTCCTTATTAAATGGATTACTACTATTCACAAAAGAACAGGATGTTTGGGAGACAATAAGGAATTCAGTTAACAAATATTAATTATATTAAACTTGCATCTCACAGCTACTATAACCAAAGTTATTTGTAAATAGCTTATTTACCAATCATAAAAGGTCAAGCACATCAACCTGAGTTATGAAATTCCAAAGTACAGAAAAAAGTTATGTCTTAAATACAAATTATAAACTATTCTGGCATTTCATAAATCCAAAATTCGTATGTCATATATAGGACTTTTCACTCATGTTACCAAGTAGCTGAAAGATGGCATGGGAAACTATCATATGTGGTTGGTTGTAAAATATATGTTACTTTGAATTTAAAGATATTTTGAGGGCAAGTTGTAAAAAGGACCTTGTGTAAATGTATACACATTTCACAGGTTTATTTCTATCATTTGTTGGAATTATCATTTGGAATAAATAATCACTTGTTAGCCAATTGATGACTGGCTCTTTAAAACAACTCTAAAAGTTTTGCTTCTTGTCCCCAAACTTTTTGAATCATGTAAAGCATCAGAAGTATTTTCAACCAAGAAAGTTACGAAAAAAATAAGCATATACTTTCAATGTTATGAGAAAAAACATACTGGAAACTGAAAGGCTTGATTTCAATTCTTTCAGTTTTTTTTTTCTTTTAGCTAAGGTCTTGCTGGTTCAGGCTGGCCTCAAACTCATGAATTCCCCTGCCTCAGCCTCCTGAGTGCTGGAATTACAGGTGTGTGCCACCACACCTGGTGATTTTGTTTATTTTCAATGCTTTAATCTCTCAAAATGTTCTGAAAAGAGAACCAAGTAAGGAAGAAGTATAGAGAAATACAGGACACCATCAGAAATTAATAAAATGAGAAAAAAGTAAAATAATTACAAAATCAGGGAAGCTGAAGAGTACAGTTCAAAAGATTTGTCATACTATGTAATAAAACATTTACCAAAGGTTTTAGAGAAATGGCTCTGCACAGAGCTCCATAGGAGCACTGATATCAACAAATGCTTATGAACTTGGTATTCTGGGATTTGCATGGCCTTGAATTTGAAAGTGTTGTACATAATATAATCCCCTATTGATAAAAATAAAGATTTCCAGTTAGTTCCTTGAGAGCACTAGATCAATTATGTATTTTATTTTCCTTGGTTCTTATTAAGAAGTGAGGCATCAGGTAGTAGACATTCAATAAATTATTTTTGATTATTTTATTCAGACATCAAAACAATTAAAAGTGGTCACAGCATGTTAAATGGTATATCTTGGTTAGCCACTATGTGGCAGCAAAGATGCATTATATATGATTTAGTTTCTAGAGTGTAGAGTAGGTCAAGGATAACATATTAATTTGGTAATTTTTTTATATTTCTCTGTATCTTAAAATATCTACTTTATATTATATTCAAGTTTGTATTATCTTTTACTATCTCTATATTTTAAAATATATACCAAATTTAAGTGGTAGTATTTTCATTCAAAATTGGAAAATCAATAGGTTATCTCATGGTACCTAATATATATATATATATATTTTTTTTTTCCTAATATATTTTTGAGAGCCAAATTTTGTAAAGGTGGTTGCTTCTAAAAGTACTTCATTCCAAGAAAACATTTTATATACTTGTAGTTTAAACTCTTGCGTCTACCAGTATTATACTACTTAATAAAACTGATCATATTTGCCATCTGCTTCAATCAGAAATTGAAATTTTCTGAGTTCTGTATCACTCTGCTACACCACAATGCCTAATATTTTATAAACATAATAAAATATTATATGCTAATACAAAATAAAGTTAAAAACACTTACCTGCACAATTTTAAGATATCACATACAGATTCTGTAAACTGGTGCTGATTTTCAATTTTTCCTGCACACAGACTCAGAATTTTAAATATCTGTGCTAAATCCCTTAATGGCTTTAGTATTTTTAGTTAAGAAATATTATTAACTTTAATATTTCCATTATCACACTCTTTACAGCACTTCTTTTAAGAAAGTCTAGAGAACTGCATCTATTTTGTTAAATGTAGATACTGTTCTATTCTTATTTTGAAATCTGAAGAGAAAAACTTAGAACCATATTTTTAGTAATGAACATTTAATTTTCTTCTTCAAAACTTTTATTTAAAATTTTTCCCTCTCACAACTTTAGAATTAGGTTACTAACTACCATACTGTGTACTCAGTTGAGAATAAGTAACTATGAGCAATGAGTAAAAACACATTAAAATTAACAGTGATTGGCTCAGTAATGTCCTTTCTTCCCATCTGTACCAACAGCTCAAACTTTTCTTTTACTGCACTTTTTCGTTTTCTTTCTTTCTTCTTTTTTTCGTTTGTTTAGCCACCACACCCAGATTACTGCATTTCTTTATTAATATTTAACTCTGCATTTTTTTACATCCTGGGTTTACATTGGTTGGGATTTTATTTCATTTAAAACTAGTATAGAAAGCTAGTTACTCATTGCTAATGTACTCAGCTCTCCCATTTCTTCCTATGAAACGCCTAGAAAGGAGGTACAAATAACAGAATTCAACCAGGAGCTAGAAGTCATAACTGTGATAATGTCCTAGCTGTAAAAATGATCAGTTATATCTGTTTACGTGTCAATAGGGTTTTTAAACAGTTAAAAGGTGCATATACCTGAAGATCTAGAGGCTAGCACACCAGAAGGATTCAGCTCTATTAACTTCCTAGACAAGTGACCAAGATACTTCTTTAACTTCATCGGTGGTGTTTTACAGCTTCTAAAGCCAGATTAAAAGGCATGCAGAAATAGATCTATCTGACACCAAGGGGCTAACCTGAAGGAAAATGGTGGCAGTGTTGAGGTATCAGGTGAAGACAGGAAAATTCATTTGCTGGAGGATTTTCTTGGCTTCTGCCAATAGTGCTTACTATTCACAGGGGCCTAACGGACCCATGCATCAAAGCTAAAATAAAAGATTTTGATGAATCATATGGCACATTTCTCTGAATGAAAATGGTTTACAATGCCTTGCACTGGGACAAGTTAATATTAGACTGGTATTTTCCAGAGGAGGCCAGACAACTGTCAGCGATGGTTTGGGTCAGTTCTCTTCCAAGTGCAGTCTGTGATCACAGCCTGTTCTGAGATTCTATGTTCTTTATCTGTAACAAGGTGAATATAGAAAGGGACCGTGGACTTTGAAAAACTTTTATAGCAATCTAATATTCCTGTGACACTTGTATGTTATAACAGCATACACATGTAAATGGTTTAAAAGTCAGGCAACAACAAACTGGTTCTTATATAGAAAAAGGGTTTTGTTTTGTTTTGTTTTGTTGTACCTGGGATCAAACTCATGACCTCACCCTTGCCAGGCAGGTGCTTATGCCACTGAGCTAAATCCCCAGCCCCTATAGATAGAGTTTTAAAGGTTGGAGACATCCTGGTTTCACATTCTGATCAGGGTGGTATACTGTCAGGGCAATATATTTATATAATACTTTTAAGATTATCAAGCACTTGCATAACATTATCTCATTTAATTGTAATAACACCAAGAGGTACAATTATCCTTATTTTATAACAATAGGAAAAGTGATGGTTTATGAGAGGTACACTTGCCCATGTAAATTGTCAGAAACAAGATTTTAATTTATCCCTCCTAAATACATCTGTTTTCTGAATCTACAGTCATTGACACTACCCACAGAGAGTACAACGAAGAGAACAATGTTTTTTTTAAATATGCCCATGTCAATATCCTGATCTCAGGAGCCTGTGAATATGTCTTAGATGGCATAGGAACTTTTTAGATGCCATTAAATTAAGGCCCCTGAGATGGCAATTCCGTACTAGAGCTCCAGGTAGGCCCAGCCTGAGCACAAGGCTCCTTATAAGGCAAAGAGGAGGAAGGCACAAGAGGGTCAGAGAACAGAGAAGAGAGGATGAAGCAGAGGTGAGAGAGCGAAGCCCTGGCAGGAAAGGCCGAGCAGATGAGATCTGTGCAGGAAGCCTGGGGGAGGGGACGACAGGCAAAGAAATGGATTCCCCAGAGTCCGCAGCAGGACCCAGCCCTGCCGGCATGGCATGCCCGCCTTTAGCCCGATTCCAGACCTCTGACCTCCAGAACTGTAAGATAACAAATGTATACTCTTTCTGCCCACTAAATTTGTAATCATTTACTACAGCAGCCATAGGAAACTAAAACATTTGGAACAGAAATTCTCTCATTCCATGATAAGTGAAACAAATGTACATGCATAAAGGATACAAATCCATTCTGATAACACTGCACCAGTTTCTTGACAGATTTAAGTTGTTTTTCTTCTAAATCACCCTAGAATAAATGTTCTATTTAGTTCTTTTGCTCTATTAAATTTGCTGAAAGTATTAAAAATTTCTTCAATGTGAAAAGAAAGTAGAAACATTAAAATTATCAAGTTATTCTTAAAATACTATAAGCATTATAAAATGTTTCTTGAAACAGTGATGGTAAAAAAAAATTACCATTCAAATTTGGGAAACTAAAAATGTATTTTTTATTTTATTTTTTGTCTTTTTGAGATAGCCTTGCTATGCAGTTCAGGATGGCCTTGAAATCACTTTGTGGCCCAGGATGGCCTTGAACCGGTAGTAATCCTCCTGCCTCAGCTTACCAAGTGCTGGGAGGAAATTAACTCTCTTCAGAAACATTAGTAATACCTGACGTATGTTGTACATTTTTTGTATGCCACGGATCAAATAGACACTATATATAAGATCACTCAGTTTATCTTCAAAATAACTCTACTACCAGGATATTATTATCCCTCTTTCCAACAACAGGAAACTCACCTGAAAACACTCTATCTGTCCAAATATACAATGCTAAAAAGTGGTGATACTAGGAGTCAGTTTTGGTAAATTTGTATCTTTCACCTCTAAAATATGCCCAAGAATATTGTGGAAACCAAGCTCCATAGTTAATTAAAAACAAAAACAAAACAAGCCTCTTGACCAGGATGTGTTTTCAAGACCGAATCCTTTCTGTTCTTTTAAAGTGTCTAAAACCATTTGTGGAAAGGCTACATACTGTCTATACTTTTCCATCCTAGGCCTTATGTATCAACCGGAAGAAGCTCTCTGTAGTTGAGTTTTATTTTTCAAGGACATGGAGACATACTCACAATTTAAAAATCAATTTTCACAAAATTATACTCAGTAAAAAATAAACAAACCTTAGCAATTATGTTTATTTTTCTTCTATTTAAGAAACTAGAGACTAAAAGAAAACGATGACTAAATGTGCTCAGGACTCACTGTTTTCTGTTGATGGCTCATTTCCTATTTGTTAAGAATGTCAAATTTAGCCAATTTGCCTTTCCTGTGAGCCAGCAGTGGCCATGTAGGCCAGGAAGAGAAACAAGAAGCCAGTTTGCCTTTCCCATGTGCCAGCCACTATGCAGGCTGGGAGACAAGAAGAGCCCCCACTGTAAGCAACCAGCTTATGTGGAGGATCACAAGCTGAGCTGATAGCAACTGAGGTACAAAACAACTTACTTCTGGTATTGTTTGATTGACTTTGCAGGCCTAAGGCCAGTAGTCTGAGCATCTATTTAGAGAATAACAATATGCAATATAGCAAATATGTCGGATTTCCTTCTGTCTTGCTTTTGAAATCCAATATTGTTCTCACTGTTTTGTTTTGTTCCATTTTATTGTTTTGTTTTCTTCAGTTCTCTGTTTTGATTGGCTTTATTCTGTTCTGTTTTGTTTGATTTCATTATGTCTGATAGTATGGGCAGCAATTTTGAAGGTAACAAGAGGCATTATGGTAACCCTTGTTGATTTTCTATTATCCTGTTTTGAAATTCTGTATCACTTTCACTGTTTTGTTTTGTCTGGCTTTATTCTGTTTTGTTTGATTTTATTCTCTTAAAATTAAAAAAAAGAATATAAACTCTTTGGAAAAGACTACACATATCTTTATAGTTTTTGTTGGTTTTTAGGCATTTTGTCAATGCTTGGCCTCAGAAAGATATGGTGTGTGAACATGTAAGAATATATTTTTACTATCCTTTTTCTTGATGCCTGAGTTACAGTTTTGAGCCTGTCTCTGAAATTTTATTTTCAATTCTTTTTTTTTTTTTTGGCACTGGGGACTGAACTCATGACCTTGTGCTTGCCGGGCAGGTGCTTATGCTACTGAGCTAAATCCCCAACCTCCAAAATTTTATTTTCATTACATTCTATAAAGATGCCTGAGTTGTCAGTGTTTAGCTTGTGTCTGAAACAATTTTATTTCTATTACATTCTATAAAGAATTCTCTCAAATTATCTATATATATATGCGTGACTGTGTATGTACTGATTTTACATTACTAAATTTGTATTAGTAAATTATGAAATCCCTTTTCCTACCATCTCTCTCCTCCAATCCTATTTGGTAACTGAGGTTAAATGACCTTTTGCATATTCTTAGTAATTCCACTGCTTATAGTCACCATGGGTCTGTCCAACCACAAAAGCAACTCGTCTTTAAACCAGATAGTTAACTTATCTGGTTAAATATATTCATGTTAAATTTAAACAGTTCTTGAATTTAAGATATACATTATTTTGAGACCAGTTCGTGCTGGCTCATAAATGAAGCTCACAAAATTGAAACCAAAAAACTACAAGAACAACAACAACAAATTTCTAAAAAGAACATTGTTTAAATGTTTTCCACAAAAAAGAGAGAAATGAGACTTACACTTGGTAAATATATGTTACCATTCAAGGGAATAAAAGTTTAGAAGTGTATAGCAGAATAATTTGTTCTCAAAGCTTACTCACTTTATCATTTTCTTCAAGGAGTCTGATGATGTGATTAAGGTCCATAGGTTTGAAAACACCCTAAAAAATACAATTTTTAATATCCTAAATCATGAAAATTTAAGAAATCATATTGAACATACTATTTTTATGATATTTTTCCTTAGTGACTTAAAAATACCTACGCCAATAACATAGGGGAGAATAAAAAAGATGAGACCTTATAGGAAGGTGAATGAATTTTGGAAGAAAAAAAAACACCCTCCTGAATTCTAGTATAATCTTAATTTTCTTTTTTTTTTTTTTTTTTTTTTTTTTTTTGTCTTTTTCCTTTTTATTGGTACCAGGGATCGAACTCACGGCTGCCTGCTTGCAAGGCAGGTGCTCATGCCGCTGAGCTAAATCCCCAGCCCCTTAATTTTCAATTTAAGCAGCCCTAAAAGAACCAAGAAAGCATGTGGAATCATGGCATGCGTGTGCTGTGGAAAGTAAAATTAAAAGCATCGTGCACACGCTTGCATTAGACTGAGCTGGCCTGCGCAGGTATATGACACGGTAGCAGCATTCCTCGGTTCATCCACCGTAGAAAACAAGAACCTGAGAAGTCACATTTCACCTCTCAAGCATTTTGTGAGCCCATCCCGTGCCTGACTCAGTTCAATTCTCATCTGTTACTGAGTTGTGCTTGTTCACTGTCACAGTCCCAGCCTCTACTCTGGCACCCTGCAGCACTCTTCTATGGCTAAATAAAACTCAAATCTGAACACCATGCGGTGAACCATGCAGGGATTTCCTGCTTATGCTCCTTGGTGCCTTTGTTTTACTCCGAGCTGGTTGCAAGCCTCGTTCCCGTCCAGGTTAACTCCCACGGGGCCCTCAGGATGAGGCTCGGACTTGCTCTCCCAAAGGAATGAAAGGCGAAGGACGCCTTTCTTCTGCTCCTCAGGCCTTGAACGCACACGCAAACGGCTGTTCTGAAAGGCTCCACCTCTACAGACCTGTCCTCCCACTCCTCCCTGCCCTGAGTTTGCCTGGGTGCACGGACTTGGTTGTGGCACAGGTACTGTGAGCGGTTTAATAAGTGCTGATACCGTGCAGCCGGGAAGTCGTTTCACTGTACAACTGCTTGTGGATAAGTGGAAAAGGAAGCAGAAGGTGCTTCCTTCAGTTTAAGTATTTAGGATAATATAGAAATCTCTGAGTTTTTAAATGCAATCTTGGCTACATTTATAGGGAACATTAATACTTTGTTGAGTTGCATTTTCTCTTTAATTTGAATGTTATGTAGATACTGCTTAGTCCCAGTGTGGGACCTAAGCTGTCCAACTTCCTTTTTCTGATCCTTTCACACTTGCATCCACTTTTAAATGACTTGTAAAATATTTGACACTGAAAAAATCGTTATTATACGAAGTATATATACATCTATTTTATATATTTTCTAGTTTTGTCTAGATGCACAAATACATAATTTCACTTAGTGCTAACAGTACCACTGCATTTCCTATATTTTAAATCTACAGTATATCTATAATGTACACTTTACCATACTCCTGTGTAGGAATTATACTGCATAGGAAGTTCATAATTTCTTTGCCTTTTACAATTACAATCTCATATATTCTATCAAGAAATTTTCAGAAATTTCAGTTAAACAATTATAACTTTATTCAGGATAAGCATCAGAATGAGGTTACTTACTAAAATGATTTAAGAATAATAGAAAAGGACATGCTAAACATACGTCTATACTTGGTATTATAGTTTGTTATATATTACTGCTTAAAAGAATTTTGCCTATTATGAATTAGAGATTTAACAGGGCCTCCTCCCACAGCCTCAGTTGTCTTTTTTGGTTTTCTTTTTTTAATTAGTACATGTTTGCTGTACACAATGATTACATTCATTATGGGGAGCCCATACAGGTGCATAACACATGTTCATTCTTTTTTTATCACCCACCCCCCATCTCTCAGTGCCTTTCCCTTTTGCAAAAGATCTACTTTCCTGCTTCCTGTATGTTTTCTTTTCTTCTTTAGTTATACTTTGGGCTTCTCATATAAGAGAAACTATGCAGTAGTTAAGCTTGTGTGTTTGATTTATTATGCTTAACATTATTGTCTCAAGGTGCATCCATTTCCCTACAGATAACTCAAATGTATCCTTCTTTATGGCAGAGTAGGACTCTGTTGTGCATAATACCACATTTTCTTTAACAAATCATGTTGATATGTAGTTCAATTCCAGTTCCAGATTTTAGTTATTATGAGTTGTTCTGCTATAAACACTAGAATGCACGTGTCACTGTAATATGTCTTTAACTCTTTTGAGAAGTATCTAGAGGGAGAATAGCTGCATTGAATGGAACTTCTATTTTTATGGGTTTTTTTTTTTTTTTGTACTGGGAATCAAACTCGGGATCTTGTGCTTGCCAGACAGATAGTTTTAGGTTTTTGAGGAGTCATCATACTGACTGTACTAGTTTACAACTACCAACAATGCAGAAGTGTTCGTTTTTATCCACAGCCTTGCTAGTTTTTGTTATTATTTGATTTCTTGATGATGACCATTCTTTCTGGTGTAAGATGGAATCTAAGTGTTGTTTTAATTTGCATTTTGTAATAGCCAGAGGTAGTAAACATTTTTTCAAGTATTTATTGGTCACCTGTACTTCTTTCAGTTGCCACTGCTTTTTTATTGGGTCTTTATTTTGGTAGGTGTAATATTTTCAATTTTTATGCACCATAGATATTAGTTCTGTGTCTAAGGTGTAGCTGGCAAAAAAATCTTTTTTTCACCATTCTGTAGGCTTTTACTTCACTTTGTTGACTGCTTTGCTGTACAGAAGTTTTAAAATTTAATATAAATTCATTTGTTGATTTTTAATGTTATTTTTTATGCAATTAGGGTTACATTCAGAAAGTCCTTGCTTATGTCTGTTTTCAAGGATTTTATTTATCTTCCAGTATATTGTTTCTGTTTTAACATTTAGAACTTTGATACATTTTGATTTAAGCTTGACATATGGTGAGAGACACCATATTGGATTCAATCTTCCTCATGTCAGTAGCCAGTTTTCCCAGCACCATTTGCTAGAGGCTATTTTTACCCCAGCAGGTATTTCTGGCTTGTGTCAAAGATCAGGTAGCTGGCTGTGCCTGGAGTTGTTTCTGCCTTCTATTCTGTTTTATTGATTTGCATGTCTGTTTTTGTGCCAGTAGCATCAGTTGTCTTTTCTGTTTCCCATGTTCTCAGACCATACACACAGATACAGTGGGTTTTTATTTTAGGATCTTCTACAATATTAAATTTAAAAATTAGACAATTATATTGAAATGAAAAGTCAAGGTAAGATTTTCTTTTTAATATCTGCCTGTATTATCAGAACTCTCCAATAAACAGATAAAACTTTTGATAAGAAACAAGAAGTAGTGAAGATTAAAGCAACTTTCTTTTGGATTTATCTTGCATTATCATTTCATGTTGATTTCTGTGTTATATTTTGTATGACAAAAAATACATTCTTTCTCCCGTTGGAGATTTAGCTTAGCAGTATAATCACCTGCCTAGTAAGTGCAAGGTAATTGATCCCTGGTACAAAAGAAAAAGAAAAAGAATTTTTCTTCCTCATATCATGCTTTGTCTTTTTCTGTTTCTGCAAATGTTTATCAGCAGGTTCTGTTTCAGGAAATATTCTAGGTATGGGACTGCACATTTTCCTGATTCAAGTAGGTGTCAGTATGCAATGCAATACTAAAGAAAACCTTGTATGTTATACTGAAGATCTTACAAAACCACTGAATAGCTTGAGAGGACAAAAATATAAATGGACAATGGCCAGACGACTTAGGACAAAAGAACGCTGGCCTACACCTCTGCAGCAATCAGCATGGGAAGCCAAGTCACAACCTACACAGCAATTGGCTCAGAAAAGTCAATATTTAATATTTGTCGAATAACTGTCAGTTTCCCTCACCCTCTTCTTTTTTTTTTTTTTTTTTTTTGTTGTTGTATTCCCTGATTCCAACTCAGGATCAACCTGAGAAAGTCAAATAAACAACTTAAAGATTACAGTCAGAGCACAATAGGTCCTCTCTCCCACTATTATAATCTTCCTTACTAAGGGATGGTAAATGACATCTTTCCTACAATCTTTGAATGGTGTACGTTCTCATTTATCCATAAGATTTAACCAGCAGAATGTAATAATAAAAAGATCATTTTATCTGCTATGTGAATACTAAACTAAAGAGGACTGGACTGGAGGTAGGAAACCAGTCTGCAACTTGAATCTTGGCTAAGGCTTTGGTAATGGTATAGATGACAGAGTATGGGGTTAAAAAATCAAGCAGTTTGAATCAGCAGGACCTAATGAGTGACTGAATATAGTGGAAGACAAGAAGAAAGGCTAGAACAATCACCCAGCATGAGTGATCACATGAACGCTTTCACCATTTATGAAGACAGGCAATGCTGGAGGTTTGAGATGGAGTTGGAAATTAGTTAAATTTAGGGGCAGAAGTTTCTGAATCATGAGGTTAAAGTGATAACTGAAGATTCTGATGGTAAATAAGATTAACTTATTATAGTCGTCCATTTATTTTACAGATATTCATTAAGTACCTATATGTCAGGCATTGTTCTAAGTGTTTATGATATGGTAGTGAAAAACACAAAAGTACTTGCTTTCATAAAGACCTGGTGTGCTCTACAGCATGTTTGGGAGGGGGAATCCCAGACCCAAACCAACTATTTAAAACAGAAGTGAAGCATACATAAAAAATGTACAAAATAGCCTGTGTATTTTATGTACTGCCTTAGGCAACAGTTTTCAAGCCTATTTCTCAAACTACATAAACTCAATTTAGGATAATAAAAATGGTTGATTTTAGGTCTAAAATAAGGAAAACTACACAAAACAGCTATCAAAAACATAGGTATCCAAAGTGGCATTTCTATATTATGCAATCCCCAGCTGTCACTGTATAATTCTATATAATCCATTAGCTTTAGGGTCAAAATAATTTTAGGAATCCTATCCTCCAGGATAATGGGTGATATTACTATAGATAAACTATATATTTTCAATATACTGAATAGGTCACTGTGTAAGTTCTCTATTTTTTTTTTTTTTTTTTAGTCTTTTCAATGGACATCAGAATGATTAGTATATTCGCTGATTTAAGAGACAGTTGTTTTTGGCCACACAGCTAAGTGAGGGAGCTGGCATAAAGAACTAAAGTAGACTTCATCTTACTTTTAGCTACTGAGATAACTGTCTTTCAAGCACAGGCTGAGGACAGGTTGTTAAGGTGGATTTGTTTGAAAGCACAGCAAACATTTAGAATTCCAAAGGTCTTTCCTTAACTGACTAGAGGCAGAAGTTGAGAAAGTTATTATCATAACTACTACTAAGAACTCTAAAATCCATTCTGTGAGCAAAGGAACCAAGTAATTGTTAATTTCTTACTACCTTAGTGGCTTCAGTTGTAAAAGCAACCATAAACATACAAAAACAAAACAGAACAAAAAATAAGAAGGCTGAGTGATCACTGCATTTCTCCCAGTTCTAAATATTCCAATACCATTTCTTAGTTTCTTTAATTAGCAACTGCCTTTATTTTGTCTCAGTGTTTTAAAAAATGGAATTACTCTGAGTAGTAGAGGCAGGAAAATGAATGGGTAGTAATGAAAGAAGAGAAATTAAAAGGAAAAGAGAAATACATAGACATACACACCACAAATGTACTTCCTTTGTTGTACTTCTTACATTATCTACTATTTTTGCAACAGCCTGCTAAAAGTTTTTGTTTTTTCTCTTTAACCTGTGCTCACCCATTTTTTTCTTACATCTAGTAATGGAAAAATGAGAGCCAGTAGTTAGCAAACTTGACCTACTTCTCGGTTTTGCTTCGAGCAGAGGGCCACGGTGAACTGCTGGGCGTCCTTGTGACCTTCGGGGTGGACGGCTAGGTTTGCTCAAAGCTCTTCTCCCCACCTGGCTTGGAATATCTCCACAAGATGGATGAGATAAATTCCCCGGACACTTATTGGTCCTCATACAGCAGCACTGTTGCTCTGCAGGTTACTGTATAAATGTCTGACCGTCCTCAGAGAGCTGAACCCTATTCCCACAAAGCACTCCCCAATCAACAGGCCATTCCCAAGGAGCTCTCCAAGCCCGCAGGATGCGAACACAGGAGACGAGGTTCCTGACGCAGCCTGAGACTCATGAAGCCTCAACAGGAATCCCCAAAGTGTCCCTGCACTGCTAATGAAAGAATTCTTCCTTAGGAATCATGGTTTTAAGCGCAATCATGGCTCTCCCTGGGGACAAGTGGAACCCTAGCATGAAAAGAAGAAATTAGAGTTTCTAAATACCTTCAGGCTCAAGCAAGTGTTTGCAAGTAAAAGATTTCAACCCAATCAGAACTAGCTTTGTATTCATAACAGAAGCGAAAATAAAAGAAAACCCCAAGCCAAAATACAATGAAACAAACCAATTCTCTCTGCACCACCTTATAACAATTTTTAATTTTAAAAAACCTATCCCTAATTTCTAATTTTAACAGCATTTTACCTCATTCTGAGTGTAGGCTTCGTAGCAGCAAGTTTAAACAGGGGAGAATTTACCGCTATATCAAGATTATCACTTGAAAACAGAGATCTGCAGAGAAAGCCCAGGACAAACAAAGCCATCTGGCTGTCAAATAGAACTCCACTGAGAATAAGTCCTTCCCTCCCAGTTTCTTCATAGTTTCTTCATAGGCCTCTCCTATTCAATTTAGCGGGACGCTCGCTCCACCAGGATGGCGCGACAGGCGTCCCCAGACGGGCTGATGACGGCAACCAGCACCCCCTGGAAGCTCGGCTCCCAGAGGGTCGGCTCTGCGCCTGGAACCTGCGCGCCGCAGGCTCCCCGCGTCTCCACCAAGGTCCTCATTTCCACCTTTGCTATCTGGAGACCCAGGCTCCGCCCCCACAGCGCAGACCCCTGTCCTCACCTGCGTCTCTTCATCTTCAGTCACCACAGCAATCACGGGAATGTGGCGGGGGCTGCTAGACTTGCTCCTGCCGCGAGGGTCCTGGCCCTCGGCCGTCGCAGCGGCCTCCCCCGTAGGCATGGCAGACGGGGACTAAAGGCTGCACCAGATAGGCGAGAGGCCTCAGGGGTCTGGCTGCGGCCTTGGCCGCCACGAAACAGCCCGCATAGCGTCGTTGCAGCCCACCCAGCCCGGAGACGCGGGATCCCTTGCGGTTGCCAACACGCGCTGGCGTTGCTAGGGGCGGGAACGTGGGCGGGGCCTCGGCTCAGTGTACGGAATCCCGAAGAGTCAGACTACTTCAAAGCTCAGTCTGTTCCTCTACACTTGCAGGGCAGGTGAGGAGAAGGGGAAGGGTGATTTCTAGGTGTGCCAAAGGGACCCACGGCCAATGGAGACCTCAGTACAGATCAAGCTGCGGCCCCCTAGGCGCCGAGGGTGTTTCAGTCTTGATCATTTGCTTTGGGCCTTGCTTAAAGCGGGGCTTGAGGAGTGGAGGGGTGGCAAAGGATGGAATGTGATGCACTGAGGTGGGGATGGGTTGGGGAGCTGTGAAGGACAGATAGGGCTGAAACCCGAGTCTATCTCGCCCCAGATGTATGACCAAGCTTACTCAAATTCCTCATGTTTTTACCTCTTCTGTATCTTAGTGGTCCAGGTGCACCTTTCAACAAGGCATCCTATCCGTGAGCTTTGAGTCAGTTCATTGGCTCTAAGGCAAGTTAACCCTTTGAAACCTACTCTTCTCAACCGCGAGAATTGTTATAAGCAGTGACTGGAATCGTGTTTGTTAGGTGGTTCTTGGCACCTAACAAACACCCAGTATGGTCAGGACTATGATTATCTCTACTATTACTATTATCGTGTCCTGAATACAATGCAAGGGTCTAGATTTGAGTAACAAAGCTTCTGAAAATTAGTAAACATTAGTATAATTGCATAAATTCAAACACAATGGCCTTGGAACCTTTAAAACAGAACTTTTACCCTTTTAAATCATTTTATTTAAAAATTTTTTTGGGTAAACTTCAGTGATTCTTCAAGATTTAAATGTGTTTTGTGTTTTCCATGGAATGTAGACATAACAATTGGAATAATAAATAAATGTCACTTTGCTTCTCTTGGCTTTCCCCTCTCATTGGTCGAATGAATGAGTTGATCAGTGATTTCTGTTTCTCTCACCTCAGTCATCCAATGACATCTCTGGCCCTAAACAATGGAAGCACTTGATGTAATTTGTAGTCAAAGAAACCAGGGTTCTTCAAAGAAACTAGGAGCACTTCCAATCCGTATTTCCCGGCTGTATTCCTCTACTTTCCTCATTGTGGGCCTATGAAACTGCTCAGAGGTTGCCAAAGCTTATTGAAGTCTGTGAACACGTTTTGTCCTTATCCTACAGTATTTGTCCTTAGTGGTTTGCATGGTGACAGCCTTCCCCTCTTGAAACTCCTTTGCCCAAGTTTCACTTTCTCTTTGGTTTTGTCTTTACAGCCACTCTTTGGTAACTTTATAGCTGCTCTTAGGCTTGCACCCTGAGGCCAGCTCAGAAAGTCTAAGGTTGCTATTACTCAGGCATGTGCCAAGTGTTTTGTTCACATAACTTTAATTGTTGTTGAAAGGCCCAAGTATAGCAATCAAAAAAAGCCTGAAACCACTTGGGTAAACTCCATGAAGCCCTTTGAGAATGACATCCAAACCAACCAATATGGTGGTAGAGAGCTAAAAATTGGATCAGTTGCTTGTACTTTGTGTGGCTACGTTGACATCTCAGGATAAGAAAAGATAAAGACTGCAAAGGACATTTTAATATAAATATTTTCTGGAAAATATTTGGTATTTTCTGGAAATACCAAGTGACTGTTGTGTTTCAGCAATAAGCTGGAGCTGGTAAACACCCTTAAACTTCTGTGGTCCTGGAATAGAGTTTGACTCTATTCTTTGGACCTAATTCAAGACACTTTCCTGAAAAATGGACAATGGGATATTTTATATTCACTATGTACAGGCTTATACCTTTGGTCTGTCCTACATCAAAAATGGCGGTTCCCAATATTTAATTGGTGTTACTGAAGAATTTCCACTTAGAAACTTGACTTTTCCTTCTCAGTGAAATTCTTCATGGCTGGGTTTCCTTACCTATAATGTTAATAGACGATTTGTAAAAATAATCGTTTTTGCTCTAGGGCACATACTTTATTCATTGATAGGTGAATAGTGATGAGAACGGTAGTTCTAGAACATTCCACACTCAGTCACTTGGAGTGAATTACTTATACTTTTCTAAAGGTGCCAAGCTTTCTCTAGCATTACTTTTGAATTCTGTTGTACAATCACCCCTTCATATGCCTGAAGGACTCGCTTCATCCCCTCTTGTTACCAAAGGGTATTCAAGTCCCTTATACGACATAGCATATTTGCATATTACCTATGCACATTCAGCTTATAACCTATGCACATTCAGCATATATTACTTAAGTTATCTCTGGATTACTTTAATACCTAATATAGATAAATTATTAGATGGAGCTATTATTTAGGGACTAGTGACAAGATGAGAAGTATGTACATGGTCAGTACAGGCTCACTTTTTTTCTGAAGTTTTTTGCTTCAAATTGGTTAGATGCACTGCTATGGAACCTGATGGTGTAGAGATCAGACTGTACATGCCAATCTTCATATCGTGTCTTAGTTATTTTTCTTGCTGCTGAGACAAACTACTGGACACCCACCATTAAACAAGAAAAGATTTATTTGGCTCACAGTTTGTAGAGGTTTCAGTTCATAGTCAGTTGGCTCCAAGGCAGGGCAGCATAGCAGAGGGCCACTGCAGAGGAGAAATAGTCCATGGCAGGCAGAAGACAGAAAAGCAGTAAAGTAGCCAGCAGCGAGTGACAAGCAGTGACCCTCTTTCTGTCCCTTATATCCTGTCCAGGTTACCCACTTTTAGGTGGGCAGCAGTCACAACCAGGTTGAAGCATGTTTAATCCTAGCTCTGCATCATGAATCACTTCCAGCACCAAATCCTTGATCCCAGCATCGCAAACCCTAGATCCAGTCACTTCTGAGAAGTCCCAGCTATGACCAGATAAGGTTTTGGGGGGACAGCTAGATACAAGACATAACAGATGGCTAACTATGAAACTCAGCTTATCTGACCTTTTATAGAAAACTTTATCCATTCTATTAGGTGCCACGTTACGTGACATTCTTTTTTTTTTTTTTTTGTACTTGCTACATATTTAATGATATTTATTTATTTATTTATTTTCTTTTTGAGGCAGTCTTTTTTTTTTTTTTTTTTGGTACTAGGGATCGAACTCATGACCTCACGCTTGCCAGGCAGCCACTTATGCCACTGAGCTAAATCCCCAGCCAATATTTATTGATTTTTGGTACACCAACACTTTTCTACTATTCAGATTCTTAAAAGCAAGGACAGTCATTCATATTCATATTCCAAGCCTGTAACATAATACCAGAGCTGTGGTTTTCAAACTTAAATGCAAGAGAATCACTTGGAATGTTAGTTAAAAAGACTCCTGAGCCCCATCCTCGGACTGACGGCTTCAGTAATTCGGGGTGAGGACCGAGAGTTTGCATTTTTAACAAGATCCTGGATGATATTGATGCCACTTGTCCGGAAATCATACTCTGGGAACTCTTGGTCTGGCATGAAATAAATATTCATTAAATATTTCAAAGATTATAAATTTCTATTTGAGTTAAAACCAAGTTAAAGCATTTCAGAGGTTACCTAGAGTAACATAAACACTTGAGGATCTTGCAAATCAGAATGTGGATGCTGGTGTAACTTCCTGCTTCAGCACTGCCTAGCTGTACACAACTTCTGGCTTTCCTGAGCTGCACAGAGTGAATTGTCTTGCGCTGCCTGTAAAATATATAATATACTTAATGTGTATCAGTAACCAAACTTCTTTTGTTTTTTTAATGTGTAAATATACAAACGCAGGTAGCCCATAGGCTGGACTTGCCTGACCTGGAGATTGTGAGAAATGCAGAATTTCAGCCCTCACAATGTACTGTAATCAGAATTTCCATTTTAAGAATATAACACAAAGTGATCAATCATATCTGAGAAGCACTTCTCTCATATGTGTCTTCATTTATTGTTTTGAAGTAATTTTAATAGTCTCCATAAAACTTGCTGTAATTATTGCATTTGTGAATTTTCCATATTCTTTGTTCCCTTAGTTATGATAAGGTTGGGTTTATTTATTCTTCTTTTTTAGTTCACCAAAAGTAGGCTTTTAAAAACTTTCCCAGGTTAAAGCGTGAATGTTTATTTAATTTTAATCATTTTTCATTGGTTCATTGATTATGACACCAAAACATACAAGAATGAAAGGGCAAACTGACAATGTTTTTAGGAAAAAGCTCTTTTTATTTTACTGGCCCACCTTAGTACCATAGTGGTAGCATTCATTACAGGGAATTTGTACCTGTACATGGTATATCTGCTGTTCCCTTTTTCCCCATTCCTCTTACCTCCGGTCAACCTCTCTTCTCCGTATTTACAAAAGCTTTGTTTCCATTTCCCCCTCTTTTTCCTTGTCCCTTCTTTCCTTCCCTCCCTCCTGTCTCCATTGTTCCCCTTCTCTTTTGAACATTTTCTTCCCGTTTCCCAATATCTACTGTACGTTTTCATCCTTATTTACATTTTTGGTTTCTCACAAGGGACAAATCAAGTGATATTTACACACTTGTCCAATTTATTTCACTTATAAGTATGGCTTCAAGGTGCTTCCATTTAATTAGACATGTCTCAAATCTATCCTTTATGACAGAGTAGTACTTCATTACATAAAAAACACTTTATCTTCTCTATTCATTCATTGGTTGATGGGCATTTAGGCTGTTTCCAAGATTTGGCTATTACAAGCTGTGCTGCTATAAACACGGGCGTGCATATATTGCCAAGGTATGATGCTTTTAATTCTTTTAGGAGATCCCAAGAAGGGTATTAGCTGTGTCAAACTGAACCTCTACTTTTAGTTTTTTGAGGAATCTCTACACTGATTTCCACAGTAGTTGTACCAGTCTACATGCCCAACAGTAGAGAAGGGTTCCTTTTCCCCCACAGCCTCTCCAGCATTCATTATTGACGTATTTCTTGATAAAAGCCACTCTTTCTGGAGATGGAATCTCACTGTTGTTTCAATTTGCATCTCTTGAATGACCAGTGATGCTGGACATTTTTCATATACTTA